AATTTTTCACACAAGGCGGCTGAGACGGCTCCGTACGAGGTAAGAGAAATAAATGTGCATTTGTTTTGGTTGCGTTTACCCAGAATACCCTGCGCTGTAGTCCACTTCCTGCTTTTGGAGCAGTCTCCGGTCCATTTGCATTCACAATTCACTTGGCAGCACGATGGCTCAGTGGTTAGCACTGTTGCCTCACAGCAAGAAGGTCCTGGGTTCAATCCCCGGTTGGACCTGGGGTCTTTCTGTGTGGAGTTTGCATGTTCTTCTCGTGCTTACGTGGGTTTTCCCCGGAGCATGCATGTTAGGCTGCTTCAGGCTCAGGCCTCCCCTGCAAGAGATCTATGATCTCAATGGGATTAGCCTGGTTAAATAAAGATGAACAATAAATAACGATGCATTCGAACCGCGCCAGAGTTCACTTCAACCGAACCGAGTCCTAGATATGGACCAGAGTTCGCTTTTTTGTTCCGCATTAGAGTTTGATTGCACATTCACACCTCCCCAAACACACCAGACTTTCTAGGCAAATGGACTAGAGTTGGATTAAAGCGGACTAAACAGGGCTGGCGTGAAAGCACCCTCAAAGAAAAAGGAGAGCTCCCAGAGCAACTCGGTGACTGTAGAGAGGATTTGTCGCACAAATTCTCCGAACTTGTCTGAATTTCAAGCGGCAAGACGGTGAACTTCTGCGAATCGCAAGAAGAAATTAATAACTTGTGCAAGACATTTTGTGGAGCTCAGTCTCAGTCCATCGTTCTTGTATATAAATATAATTCATCTTGGTCAGGATCTCAAAAAGACTTGAAATAAAGTCCTGATTAATCCAACATTATGGCATAAAAAGAGTGATCTCTAAAGCTACACTTAAGAAACATGATGGAGGTGTGGTTTCTGTATTAAACCGTTCATTAGAAGCATACTGTCCACGGCTGGAGGTTGATAAATGCAGCATTTTAACAACCATCAGTCGAAAAATGTGAACCTCTTTTGTCCGACTTTAAAGTTTAAAAACTCACTAGATCAGCCAACAGCAATTTATAAAAACAGGCCATAAACCATTTTCTGTAACTGCACTTGTAGTAGAAATTAAAGTTAAATGAAGAGGACAAAAGAACCGGACTGTGATTAAGTTTAAGCAGTGATGGAAGTCGAGCTAAAAGTGATTACAGTAAGTTGAAAAACAGAAAAGAACTAAAGTACAAGTACAGCTCGTGTGTTTTATTGTGAAAGAGCTGCCTGTCAGGTCATGAGAGTTGGGACTGAATAAAAACTCAAAGGTCCTGAACTCCTTGAAGAAATGCATTTCGCCCGCTGCCTTTCATACGAGTTAAAATCTTTTTATGATGACAAATGATGGAGTCGCAGCCATTTTGATCAAACCTCAATAATAACACTACGGGCCGTCCCGTGCAGTACTTTGAGATGTCACACTCAGGATATACTGGGAATGACTTTGAGCTACTTCCAAATCAGATCAACATCGGTCAAACTGTTTACGGTTCTGAACACACAACCTTATACTAAACCAAAACATTTACTTAGCCTAAGATAGTAGAAAAGTAAAGTTTATTTTGAAATGTATCTTTAACGTTATCAACGGCGGCTATGTTCATCTCTACTTCCTCATATTTCCTCTAAAGCTAAACGATGACGTAACACAAGGCCTATAATTTGAGACAAAAAAAAGCAGGCACCGATAAGGGTGGTGAACGTTAAAACGGATAAAGATGAGCGGCGAAGAGGAGTAATGGGGAGGTGGGGATATCGAGTGACGTTACCGACATGCTTAACAGAAACAAGATATTTCAGAAGAGTCGTGCACAACACGAGCTCAAACACACGTGACAGACTGAAAAATTGCATATCGTTACTGTTTTAACAGTTCACCAAATTATTTCTCATCCTAGGGTCTTAGTTTAAATGTCTGACATGAAAGGCAGCGGGTGATATGCATTCCTCCAGGAGCTCCGAGAGCCTGCTCTCACAAGTCTGAGCAGATCTTCTGCTTTTCCCAGGGCTTTGCGTCAACTATTGTGTGATGGGACAGAAATGTGAAGTGGGGGTGGTTGTGGTTATGCTAGGGGTTTTAGCTGCTGGAAGCTAACATTAGCATCAGGAACTCAATATTTTGTAGTGGAACCGCTAATCTATAATGAGAAAAGGGGTGTGGGTGCTGCTAGTCAAAAATGACAGCCGACGTCCTGAAATATGACGTTGCTCTTCTCCTTCACCTGAAAAACACCCGTGGCTGTTGTTGTGTAACAAGACGACTCAAACGGATACCCGTGCCATGCGAGTGCCGTGTTTTTGTCAGTGTCCCATGATGGGGCACCGTGGGACGGAGCGGCTTCCTGGAGATCAGCGATTGGGCTTCTCTTGGAGTATAAAACACGCTTGCAGAAAAGAACGTCTCTCTTCGCATCAGGAGAAATTGTTTTGTTACTCTTAGAACGAAATGTCGGGCAACACATACAAGTGACTTTTAGCGTTTGAATTCAGACATTATTGAAAATAGATGCGAGCACAAATGGCATAACCTTAAACAAAATATAACAAGCAAGAAGTCTTTTTCCTGCGGGCTCAACAAAGTTCTATCTTATCTCGACAAATGGTCCAACAAAGTCAAGTCAGGTCTTATAGTTGGTTTTTTTTTTTGGGTTGAAGAAACCAAAAAAAGCAAAAAGGAACCAACTTAACTTTAGATGTTTCTACCTGGATTATTGAGCATGAACCAGGATCTCTACAAATTGATTTGCTGTGTGCATAAATGAGCCACTTAAAGGAGGTTACCCTACAAAAACTGAGTTACAAGCAGTAGGGGTGCACCGATTGCAGTTTTCTGTCCGATCACCGATTTCTAAAAAGTCTGATCTGCCGATACCGATTTTGTTATAGTGACACTGTCAGGAGTTATAAGGTCACAATGCACCTTCAATTTTCTAATTATTATACTGAAAAACAAACCTTTGAACAATATCCTAGAAACAAAACAAACTTTTTTTGAATTGGCCATGAGGTAGTGCTCTGAAATATAAATGGAGTTCAAAAAATGGGTAAAATCGGTTTCTCGTGCAAGTATCAGCCGAATTCACAAAATTAAGGAAATGGGGGCCGATTTATCGGTGCACCTCTAATAAGCAGCCTTACTTTCTGAAATACACATGTGTGTGTGACTCAACTCAAACTGATCAAACCAGCCACAACAGCTTCATGTAAATATCAAAACACCTCCGGTAGTTTACTTCGTATAAAAGTGCGACTTTGGCTACAGACAATAAACAACTGGCTGTAAAACTCCAGCGCAAGTCGGCGGGTGGAGGTTCCTTCCTCTACGACTCCCTTCATTATTATCATTAAGGCCTTCAATCGGGATGGGAAACTATATTTTAATATTTCTCAGCAAACAGCTTTAACACGGTCACTGTAAATAAATACTGGGAATGAAGAAACCAGTACATTCTGTACTAATGTGAGAAATTTCTACAACAGAAACAGACAAAAGGATTTATGTGGTGATGAGACAGAAGTAAAATATAATTTACAAACAGGAGGGGAAGTATTGTGAATTGTGCCGGCTGCTGATCCAAACCGAAGCAGATCTGTGCCGAAGCTTCAAACCCAAACGGACTGCAGGGTCTTCGGCGCTGCCGGGGTCGGTGGGAGCTATAGTGCCCTTGAGATAAAGGTGGGGGCGGTTTCTAAAGCTGCACCTCTTGGTATGAGGGGAGGACGCTGGAGACGTCACATTTAATGTGCATCTTTGCACAGCCTTTTAAAAAGAGCCGTCCACCTCAAAATGAGAGAACCTGCAGAAGAACGGCAGCAGGGCGAGGCTGACGCAGCAGATCATTGCAGCTGCTGCCGGCTACAGGTTCATCCCAGGCGGAAATTACATTTAATCAATTTAACACGTTAAAAATACGAAGCATAGCGTCATATCCACCATGTCAAACTTCAAAGATTATAATATAAAACCCAGCTAAAAGGGAAAGACGCGTTAAGTTTTCACAACCTGTTTCTATTTTTGCTTTAACACATGAGGCTTCCTGCAGACATGATCAACTCACACCAGACATTTCCATTTATTCTTATTAGGAACGCTAACAAATCTTTAAAAATAGGTTTATGTAAAACAATTTCACTGAAAGAGCTGGAAAAAATAACTAAAAAGGGCGCGCATCTGGTTTGAAAATGAGGAAACTTGCAGCGTTTTCAACACATTTGGTCCCATTCTGGGATAAATAACGTCCTGAACTGGAAGTCGTCAGTCACAAAAACTGGCACATTTTTAGAATCCCAAGAAACTTTAAGCAAATGTGTTTTAGTGAAAATTTACAGATTTTTTTTCCCAGCGGTTAGACAAAATTAAATACATTTTTATTTAGCGAGTTAAACCCTTGAGTTAGTTCCTGCATTTGCATATTTTACAGGACAGTAAACGATTTTTTAGAAAATGGCAATTAAACAAGGTCCACCTTCAGTTTCCGTTGAAGGTCAAACTATGAGTAAATAACTTTATGACATATTAAATTCTGGGTCTTTATCCTGTTCATAATCAATCCAAATTCTAATTGTGTTCAACACAGCCAAGAAATTATAGTTTAAAAGGCAAGAAAATCAAAACTTCAGTGATAGAAACTTGCTTTACTTGATTAGTTAAGTTTTCCAAAGAGTGTTTGTTTTGCTCAAATATAAAGTGAACATTAATGACTGACTTTGGGCTGGCCCTGCATCATTATTGATCAGATTTGTTTGGGTGCTGACAGGAAGTCTGGGGATATTTTTCCTCATAAACAACTCATTGATTATAATTTAACAGCCAGTCCATCACAAACCGTCCAAATGAGCCGGATTATGGACTCTGTGTGGTCCTGCAGCTGCTCTGTGCACATGTGGTTTAATCTCAGGACCTCACGTTTGAGGGGATTATCACCAGATTCTGCAAAAAAAGCATCAAGAACCCGCAGATGAAGGTGAAAAACTCTCGTTTTTAATCTACTTACATGGTCCGGGTTCCGCTCGTTCCCAGGCAGGGCCGTGCGTAGAGACATGTTCCTGTCCCCGAGTGCTGGTTCCGGTCTGGTCAGAGGGGTTTGCGTGTTCAGCTGGTTTAATTCAAAAACAACCCAAAAGAAGCCCAGAGTCCCACCAGGCAGCTCCTCTTCTCACACGAGCATCATTGTCGGGGTCCGTGAAGGCAGCACGGATCACGGCTTAAACTGATGCGTTTAAAATCCAAAATCTGAGCTTCATGGTCCAAAATAACAAGAACCCTGGCAGAACCGGACCTTCGCCCCCCCAAATCTTTCCGACTACCGTGTGACTTGAGCAAACAGCGGGTGGATGAATAAACCCCGGTTTAATTCCAGCTGAATCACGGTCCGGGATCAAACCGAACCACAGAGGCCAGAAGACCGCGGGGACACCTCCGCCGAGTCCGGGGGCTTGTTAGCTAGCTAATGCGGCTAATGTGGCATCTTTCGGGTGACCGGAGCCAAAGCGCTTCGACGGGAGAACGGTTAGCTAAATGGACCGGGGCCGCATTTCTGGACGCCGGTGGGAGACGCCACCCCTGCGGGCTGCGTATCAAAGAAAGAGGCGCCTCTCTCCGATTCTTCCTCTCAGCTCAGTCCGCCCTTAGCGACCCTCATCGTGGCGGTGAAAAGATCCCCCGGCGGCCCGGCTCGATCACGTCCTCCCGGCACCACAAGCAGCATTTGATGAGGAAGGAAGTGAAAATGAAGACGAGAGAAGCGGAATCTCCGACCTCTCCTGCTGCCGAGAAACAGCGACCAGAGGAGGAGGAGGCGGGAGGGACGTCACCACAACGGAACAGCCAGGGCGCGAGCACAAGAGCGCGCCTCATGCTGCCTTCAGGTACCCCGCAGAAAAAATCAGTCATCCGAAGTTCATTCTTATTACTTGTGCTACTGAATGCGTAATTGTTGATTTAGCGTCTCCATAATGAAAGTAAATAAAAACACAAAAACTATAGCGTTCAAGCCACAGTTTTCCTGTTTTTAACTTATTGTTCTTATGTTTACATTTTAATTCCTCCCGTGTACCTTACTGTTAAAGCTATGGAAACGATCAGCTGTTTTAGGCGATGGCTATGACTTTTTCTACTTTTTAAAATAAAACATTTTATTTACAAATATTATCCCCCTCGAAATCCACTGAATTTTCAATCTCTTCGTGTACATTGTTGTCTAAATATGCTGTAACTTTAACTTCCTTTCTCTGTTTTTGTTTTGTTTAGTTACATTTAGGTTTTAGCTAGCCCTTTGCTGCTTAGCTCCTTTAGGCACTGTTGTTTAAACTTTTAGCTACTACTAGCTTTTACCTACCCATTTGCTACTTTAGCTTTCAACTAGCTTTTTGCTACTTTTAAGCAGCTTTTTTTTTTACTTGTAGCCAACATTTAGCTTATTTTAGCTTCTAGGTAGTTATGTTGTACTTTTAGCTCTTGCTACTTTTAATTATTTAAAAAAATATATATTTTTTTTGCTTGTAGCTAACCATTTGCAACTTTTAGGTTGTAACTACCATCTTGCTACTTTTAGCTAGCATTCTGCTTTTTTTTACCCAACTCAATTTTAGCTTATCCTGATGCATGCTCAATAATCCAATCATAAAATAATCAGTTTTAGCTTCTTCACATAATAAGCAGCCATTGAGTTCTCATATTGCATTATGCATTTTTTTTTGTGTGTGTGTGAAAGTGTATTTCTCTTGCCTGAACATTGTGTGATGCATATGCTTATCATATTTAAAATAGATCATATATAACAATACCAAAGGTGAATTTTTCATTTATTATTTTGTTTTTTATTGCCATAAAACTGAACTTCAGTGCTTCCCACAGTTGGGGTCTGGGCCCCACTGTGGGTCACAAAACATCAAGTTTTAGGTTTCAGTCGGTTTCCAGGGTCTGGTTCTGACCCAGACCCCTGCAGACCGGAGGGACTGGCACTGGAACGAGCAGCGTGTGCTGAAATAGCATCAGGATCAGATCGATGGCGTAAAGATCAGCCGGAGCACACCAGGCAACAAACTGCAGAGTCCAAACACCGGGTTTCACAGAACCCTGCAGCTCTGTCCGGTCAGCTGTGCATAAACTAATTAGAACAAAAAATATCGAATGTGAAACTGTCAATAGAGCTAATGGCTTACAGAAGAGGCAGGGTGGTCCGTGTGTGTGATCTGTGCACGTGTGAGCACGTCAGCAGGTATCGACCCAACACCAAAACAAATGCTTGGTTTGAACATCCATCAGGACCTTTATTTAGTGTGGTGCTCCCTACACTGATCACTTCAGAACGTTCCTCATTTTTACAAAACAACGATGAATTTAGTGCGTTTGTGTTTAACTTGCTCAAGTTGCCCGGCGGTTATATTTTAATGGAAACTACTTTAAAGGAATAACAGCATTAGTCCTAAAGGTGACGATAACAGGACATACTCTGCTCATTTCCACCGTCTTTGGTCGTAATGAGTTCCGTTTCTGCCGATCCTCACACACTTCCTCCAACGATGCCTTGCCCCGTAATCTGTGAGGGATTACAGGCAGCCTCACGTAATCTACAGACTTTAGTCTGACCAGTCCATTAAGACAGCTGTTAAACCAGAGAACACGGAATAAACAAATTAACGTCTGAACTAAAATACTGCTCCTTTGTTTGGGAGGGGGTTGAAGGTCATGGCAGCACCACCTCAAAAAGGTTCTTCCAGGTCCACGAAGCCTCCCCGCTTCTTTTAACAAGTCTGCAAACGAGCGCTGGTCCAGAGAGGACGGCAGCAGTTCTGGACGGTGTTCACATCTGGCTTCTTCTTTGTCTGATAGAGCTTTAAGCAGCATCTGTGCATGAACTGTATGTGAACAGAACCAGACCTGGTTTTAACGCAGTGGCCTCTGAGGGCCTCGTCCACAAGCCTGTAGATCAGATTATAAACTGGAGATGATGGAGATTAAAGTGTTTATTCAGGAACTTTATTCTGAAATATTTCTTCTAGTTTTCGACAGACTGATGATGAACCTGTGCCCATCTTTACTTCTAACAGTCTCTGTTCATCTCCAGTCCTCTGACTAACCTGCTGATTCACCTCATTAGTTACTTTAGTAACTAATACTTTAAGTTTTTGTTCCATTTAATTTTACAGCCTTTTATTGGCCTTGGCTCAACTTTATTAAGATGTTGCTACTTTCAAACTCAAAATGACCCATATTGTTTTTTTAATTTTAACATTTGATAAGTTCACTCTGTTTCATTGTGAATTAAATGAGTTCATAAGATCTGCAAACTATTGCATTGTTTTATTTACTCTTTGCACATCGTCCCAAGTCTTTTAGAGCCGAGCTTATAAAAAAACAAAGAAGGAACAAGAGAAAAGGTGATTTTTCTCTTTTAACATTTTTTATTGCACATGGTTTAATCATCTCTGTTCTTTTCTTACAGCTGATCAGTTAGGCACTTGAAACAAGTTTTTAAAATACATTTTAATTTTGAATCAGACAGCATTACATTCGAATATAGAAACATCTCGCCTCCTGAAGAGGAAACAATAAATGGAAACAAACTCTTCATTGAAACACCATGTGTGGTCTCAGAAAAGAATACAAAAATGAGAGTTTAGTGCCGTCTGCTGGTACAGAGACAAAATAGTGATGAACATCTGGACTGAGCACGAAGATGGGAAAGAAACAAACACGGCTGAACGTTTAAAGCTTCATAAGAGTCATCATCCTGAACAGTTTGAACGAGTCGGACGGAGCTTCATTTACGTCGGCGTAGTCGATGCTACGTCATGTTCAAAAAAATATTTTACTGACACTAACTCACGTTGTTTAAATTAGACGAACGACCCAGAAACCTCAGAGTGCTGCAGGCTCTGACTAACAGAAACAATTAGTCAAGTCTGTAGTTCTTCTAAGGGCAGACTTTTTCTTAAAATACGTTCTGGATCCAAACGCTGCGGCACAAAATCCCCCGGGGTTTTAATCGATATGTAAAGTTAATCAGTCTTTTCTAAAATCTGCTGCATATAGACGCTCTGACGCTGCTTTTGTCAGGAGATTTGGGTCAAAGTTTATGGATGTTTTTAACTACTGTGGTTGAGAATGTTAACTGCCCATGAACCATGTGTTTGAGTTACCAGCTCTCTTCTCTCCGAGAGCTGAAAGAGCTGATTTGATCCTGCATGTGCAGCTGGATGGTCAAGTCCACCAGAAGTGCAGTGTGAGCTGATAAGCTTATAAAAACAAGCCTCGCACACTGCCCGTGGCAGATTGTCATGACTGGGCTCCATGCATGTTAACTTCTGTACATCTGTGTAACACATCTGTGCAACCTGTGCTGAAAGACTGTCCTTGCTAGTAAAACTGGTTAAAACGCTTCTCGTGTCCTCAAGTGTGGCTTCTTTGAGCAAGTTCAAGTTCAAGTAGGTTTTACTATCATCCGCATCACATGTGGTACATGAGGTGGAGCAAAATTGTGTACAAACAGTCCCAGTTACATCCAATAGCAAAAATATAAATTGTAAAGAAACGGTAATAAGGACCTAAGAAATACGCTAAACACTAATAGTGCAAAACAATACGCCGAACAACAGCAGCACGAACATGAGTCTGTGTGAGTAGATGAGTACGAATGAACACAGCAGCATGAAATAATCAGCAGCATGGATAATCAGCAGCACATATCAACAATCAAAGTGGCATTACAGTGATTTTTTTTTTTCACAGTGATTATTCTGGTTAGAGATTCATGAGTCTAACAGCCTCAGGGTAGAAGCTGTTCCTCAGTCTAGTGGTTCTACACTTAATGCTCCTCAACCTCCTTCCTGAGGGGAGCGGGGCAAAAAGTGTGTGTGCTGGGTGAGTGGGGTCCTTCATGATGCAGGTGGCCCTCTTCCTGCATCTGGAGGTGTAGATGTCTGTGATGGTGGGGAGACTGACACCAACATCTTCTGTGCAGCCTTCACCACTCTCTGCAAAGCTTTTCTTTCTGCAGCTGTGCAGCCTCCATGCCACACGTTGATGCTGGAGCACAGGATGCTCTCCACTGCACACCTGTAGAAGGAGGTGAGGACCGAGCTTCCCAGACCAGCTCGCCTCAGTAGAGTCTCTGATGAGGCTGGTGGTGTTGTAGCCCCAGTTGTCGTTCAGGTGCAGGTGCATAAGTAAAATGAATAGAGGACATTTTTGTCCAACAGCCCAAGACAAATCAAAATGTCTTGTTGAAAAAGAGCCATGTTTGTAACTGTTTCAGAAAGTAGTGCTGACAGCAGCGTAATGTGAAGTTGTGGTTTGTCGTGTGCAGACGGGACTTTTCTTTCGGATGTAGATGCATCCGTAGGAGAAACAGCTCTAAAACCACAGAACGCCTCCTTCAGTAGTTATCAGACCGATCGCTCTGCTTTTAGACAAACTCCACAACGAAACCAACACATCTTCAACATCTGCCTTCGAAAGAGAGGTAAGGTTTGATTTGACTCTTTAGAACAGACTAAATCAAATTAAATATTTACACGTTTTCACATTAAAGTCTAACATAAGTCACCTGCTGAATTTTACACAGAAAGTAATTGGTTAACACGGGGCAAATTTAAGCACCAGATGTTAAAGATTATTAATGTGATTTGTTACATCAGTTATTTAATGTGCAACATGTTTTTATTTAAACATAACAAGTATTGCTTATTTTCTTGTTTCCCACTTTAGATATTTAGACATTTCAGTGAATTTTTGAGTTGTTTTAGATGTCAGGTTCCTGTAATTTATTGTGTTTGTACAGTGTTTTATTAATTATAAGTAAAGGGTTAATTGCTCAATCCAATTTATTATTTTAATGTATTTGATTGACTTTAATATGCATTTTAGGGAAGATAATCTACTACAACAGGAGATCGGATTATTTTTCCTTTGCTGCTACTGTTTTAATTTTAGAAATATTACATGTAATTTACTTATTTTGCCCTGACAGAATAATTTTTATCAGAATTTTACTCATTTCTAAAAAGGAAAATCCCAATGAATGAATGTTTCTTCCCTTTTTAAAATGATTGAAATCATTATACACACGGGTCCATTGCTACTTGTAAATATTTAAAGCTGTGACTTCGCAATTATTATAAAGGAAATTTTATTATAAGAAAAAATGAAAGATCTCCGTGTCGTGGTGCAGCTTTCAGAAGTCGACCATTGCGCACACTAAAAACAGCTTTTACCTCTGCAGGGTCACTTTTTACAGCTTCTTGGTGAAACGTTGATTTTTCCATCCCACCTTTAGTTAGTACGTCCTAAAGCAGAGGTCCACTTGGACCCAGTTAGGGGGTCGAACCTTTTGATTCAGTATTTTTGGTCAAACCAACCAACAGCTTTAATCCAGTTATTGAGTTAACAAAAGAACCCAGCAGTTTTTAGTGTATGGTGGTGAACCTGAAGTGTTTATATTTGATGTAGAAGATGAAAATACCCACCTTGTGTAAGAAACTTTTAATCATTTAGATTTTTAATTCTTAAAAAATGTATTAATAGAGTCTGGAAACACCAACTAACTCTACTTATCCACACCTGGGAAAGACAAAAATCTAATTGTATACCTTCTAAAACTGCACCTGAACCCAACATTTCTAAAACAATTGAACAGTTTCTGGTTTTATGTAGAGGAGGATGCTGGCAGCTCTAACCCTGGCCTCCCTGCACCTCTTGGCGTGGGCATCGGACCTCTGCCCTTCAAAGTGCCAGTGTGAGCACAACCTGACCAAAGTCACCTGCCGAGACAGAGCGCTGCGACGGATCCCTGCACTGCCACAGGACACGCACAACTTGTACATCTCCTACAACGAGATCGAGGAAATACCCGAGCATGGGCTGAATGAGCTGCAGGTACGAAACAGCATCGACATCACTGTGGTTTGATGCTTCTGTCTCTGTACAAACATAGAAAGCAGAGCTTTGTGGAATGTGCCGACGTGAATTTGTCATTCTTTTATCTGATGTACGAATCCCATCCTGAAAAGGTGACATCGTGTAACATATAATTAAAAATGCCAGAATGCATATCTGATAAATCCAGCACATCTCAAAGAAGTTGAAACGAGCAACAAAAGGTACGAATACAAAACGGATTAATGTTGACTAATGAGGTTAATTATCAACAGGTCAGTGAGAGGACTGGGTTTAAAGAGACTTTTAGAGAGGCTGAATCAGAAGTAAAGATGGGCAGAGGTTCAGCAGTCTGTGGATAATTGTGTCTAAAATAGTGAACAGTTTCAGAATAAAGCACCAAAGAGGTGAGGGGCCATCCATTCCCTTATCTGCACGCTGCTCTAAAGCCAGCCTCTCTGATGGTGTGCGGGTGCATTAGTGCTTCGGGCATGGGCAGTGTACACATCTGGTTAAGCCCCGTCAATGCAGAAAATAATCTACAGGTTTTAGAACATCCAGCATCAAATCAGGCAAATAAGACCCAGGACTGCTGAATGTCATGGCAGAAGACTCCACTTGTAGATTTGTAACAATTTATTATAAAATTATTCTCAGGGGTGAGACAGATTTCAGCGGTAGAGTCGGTCTGACCTCAGATTGTTGGAGAGCGATCGTTTCATCAGTAAGACATAAGAACGCCACAGACCCTGCATTCTGCGTTTATTTACTTTTTTACAGCATCCACTTTTTAAAAACTGGGGTTTTGTTATAACGGACTTGTCTGCAGGGATTAAACAGAAGTCTGCACTTTGTCCTCTTTATTAGATTCTGGACTTGACACAGAACCAGCTGGGGGTCTTCGTGTCACGTAACCCATTCTGGCCCGAGATGTCGAAGCTGCACAAGCTTCTGCTGCGTGACAACGACCTGCGGTCTCTGCACCCCCGCCAGTTCCTGAACTGCCCCGCTCTCACCTTTCTGGATCTGAGTAAGAACCAAATCCAACTGCTACCATCTGGTTTCCTTCAGGGACTAGCTAATCTGAAGACCCTGTTTCTGAGCTACAACCGGATAGAAAAGCTGCAGGTGGGGGTGCTGAACGGAGCCCATCACCTCGCTGAACTCCACCTCAGCTTCAACAGCATACCTCAGATAGACAGCGATCTCTTTAGGAACTCCACCATGTTAGAGAAACTCGACGTGTCAAATAACAGAATCGCAGCGGTGGGAGAGGCGGGTTTCAGAGGAGCCGCGGGCCTCAAACACCTGGACTTGAGTCATAACCAGCTGGACGCCGTTCCGTCCCGAGCACTGAGGGATGTAAACCGGCTCCATTTTCTGATCCTGGCTCTGAACAAACTCACCGACCTTCCTGAGGACGGCTTCTCCTGCCTGAGCCTGCTGGTCCACCTCGACCTGAGGAGCAACAACCTGATCACCGTGTCAGAGGGGTCGCTCGCAGGCCTGGTTAACCTGACGGACCTGGATCTCAGTGAAAACCTTGTAGCTTCTCTTCCATCCGGAGCCTTTAAAGACCTCATCAACCTCGAGGTTCTCGATCTGTACAGGAACCGACTGACGTCCCTTCCCTCCGACATGTTCAGCAGCCTGACCAGCCTGGAGGACCTCCACCTGAACAGCAATCAGATCTCTGCCTTGCCGCTCGGAGTTTTTGATGCGTTGCACAAACTAAAAGAGCTGCAGCTGTCACACAACCTCCTCCAGGAGCTCCATCCGGCTCTGTTCACCGAGCTCAGCTCTCTCCAGATCCTGCACTTGGAGCAGAACGCTCTGAAGCACCTCCCCAAAGGCCTCCTCCACAAGATGAAGGCTCTCAGGGAGATAAGCCTGCATGACAACCTCATCGAGTCCCTCCATCCCTCGACCTTCAGCGGCCTAACGAGAGTCAAGTCCCTGAGCCTCTCCAACAACCACCTTTCATCTGTAGACCCAGACCAGTTCAGGGATCTTACTGGTTTGAAAGAGTTAAAACTGGATGGAAACCGCTTTGTGAAACTTCCCTCAAACCTTTTCACGGCTCAGAAGAAACTCGTAACACTCGATTTGGGCGACAACGATCTCTCCGAGCTGTCTGCAGATGACTTTAAAGGGCTGACCCACCTTAAGGAACTCAGGCTGAGCTTCAATAAGCTTCAGAACATCCATTTCAACACCTTCCACCCCCTCCAGAACCTCCGCAGCCTCCTGCTACACAACAACAGCCTGGACAGTTTAACTGATCAGCTCTTTGTCCGGCTGTTGAAGCTAAAGGAACTAAACTTGGACGAAAACAAGCTGGTTCTCCTGAAGCCTGTGGTCTTCCAAGGACTTCAAGATCTCCAGATCTTGAGCCTGAAGTCCAACCAGCTCAGGACTCTGAAGAGTGAGACCTTGAGGCCTTTGAGGAAACTCAATGTTGTCTATCTGTCGGGTAATTTGTGGGATTGTACGTCTGCGAATAAGGTCTGCAGCTGGCTCACCGTGCACAGAGACAAACTAGGAGATCACCCCGTGTGTCACTTATCATCATCATCAGCCCTGTCTGAAAGTACGCAGCTGTCACAGCCGCCTCCATCTCCTCTGTTCTTACACGATTACTGCATCAAAGGAGCCGCGGGTGGCTCGACTTCACTTCCTGTTCAGATGCTCATCCTGTCTCTTATAGCCGTCGCCCACAACCACCTTTAAGGTGTTTTTCTTCCCTTAAACTTCCTGCCATCTCTTTCCTTTTTGTTTGACTTAAACAAAAAAAAATTAAACAAAGTTTCCTAAAATGCAAACATGCACTCAAGAGTTGAGTGAATAATTTGCACAAAAAACAAAAGTGCAGGATTTATGCAAATTCTAAAACAATAAAGTTCTCAAACTGTAACAAATGTCGACGTGTGTTCATGCCTGACCCGTTGAAAATAAACATTAATGCTGTAAAGGTGCTTCATGTGTTCATAAACGTGTATTAGGAATTGCTCATGTTTGATTTTTGACCTCAAACTAACAAAAAATATTGATTTAAGCTGATTAGTCTCAGGTTTATATATTCTCTGCAGTTAAAGGTTTAATGCATGAAAACAAATCCAACACTAGTTTAACTAATATAATCTGCAGCTTCTTCTCTGTAAAGTTAAATGTTTCTTGTCCCATCATGCGACATATCTTCTACTGTAACTTTAATTAAACATTCAGAAGTATAAATAACGTTAAATGTACATCTGTGACTTATGGAAGCCCATTTCTGCCACAAACAAAAAAAAAGCCCAACAGGAAGTCATAATTTCGACTTTTAAAGTCATAATTATGACTTATATTCATGTAATTATGACTTTAAAACTCGAAATTATGACTTTTATTCTCATAATTATGATTTTAAAACTCGAAATTATGACTTCCTGTTGGGTTGTTGTTTTTTTCTTTCATGACGGAAATGGGCTTCCAAAGAAACTGCTGGAAACTGTCAGAAACTCAAAACTCACTCAATATTGTGAGAAAAAAAAAAGTTTTCTAAAGCGGTTTCAATTTATTCTGAGTATTTGAGATTTTAAAATTATTTTTGTGTACACGGCTTAAACAAATCTATTGTTTAAGCACATCATTTGCTGCTCAATTTTCTCTGCAGCTGCTCTCACGTTTATGATGTAATCTACTGGAGAACACTTTTGAAATGAAAACAGGTAGTGATGGATGAGTTTTTATTATCATTAAAGATCATCAGAGTGGATTTTAGACCCGACGCTCGGGGCCTCAGACATTTCCTGTCAGATGAAACCTCTGTCCAGGTGTTAAATTCACCTCCAGTGTTCCTGAGACGAGACGCCGCGACGACTATTTTGGGAGAACAAAGCGACATCAGGCGTAGAAACACACGTGGTCCTTCAGGTTCCTCAGGTAGGAGAAGCTCTTCCCACATTTGTCACACATGTAGTGTTTTTCTCCGGTGTGGATCTGCTGGTGGGCCTTCAGGCTGTTGCTCTGGTTGAAGCGGCGGCCACACGTGTCGCAGCTGAACGGTTTCTCTCCGGTGTGGATCCGCTGGTGTCTGCTCAGGTTGCCCATGTTGTTGAAACATTTTCCGCAGGTACTGCAGCTGAACGGTTTCTCTCCGGTGTGGATCACCTGATGGGAGAACAAGCTGTTAGATTAAAAACATCCATTCAGCATGTGGTGTTCTCCAAGGTCAAAATCAATGCTTGTATTAAAATGAAAGTTTATAGGGTGGTTTGGTGTGAAAGCAGGAAATGGAGACAGGACTAAGTAATGAAAGGGTTCAAACTGTCGGCTGTTTAACTTCAGGTCATTTAAACTGATCTGAAACACCTCCACCTGATGCTGAGACATGCAGGAGCTCCTAAGTGACTGAGTCACTGTCTGATGGGTCGTTACCTTATGTGATTTAAGGCTGCTTTGCTGCGTGAACACGCGACCGCAGATCTCACAGGCGAACGGCTTCTCGCCGCGGTGCGCCCTCAGGTGAATCCTCAGGTAACTGTAAGACTTGAAGCTCTTCTCACAGAAGCTGCAGCTGTGAGGCTGCTCCACGGTGTGGCGCCGCTGGTGCTTGTGCAGCTCCGTGATGGAGCTGAGCTGGAGGCCGCAGCTCGTACACGCGCACGGAATCGTCGTGGCGTGCGTCTGGAGGTGTTTGCGTAGAGAGCTGATGGAAGTCATCACGGCGCCGCACGTAACACAGTTCAGCTTGTGCTCGGCGTGAGTGGTGTTCTTGTGCACCTTCAGGGTGCTCTTCTGGACGAAACTTTTGCCGCAGGTGTCGCAGCTGAAGGGCCGCTCGCCGGTGTGTAACCGCCGGTGGCTCTTCAGAGTGTCCCCCTGGTTGAAGCTTTTGCCACAAGTCTCACATTTGTACGGCTTCTCCCCGGTGTGTATGCGCAGGTGGCGCCGCAGGTTACCTGCCAAATTGAAGGCCTTGTTGCAGTACAGGCAGATGTAGCTACGCTCCCCGGTGTGGACCCTCAGGTGCAGCTTCAGGCCGCGCGCTTGGTGAAATGTTTTACCGCACTGATCGCACTGAAACGGACGCACTTGGTTGTGGAGACGCTGGTGGGTTCTGAGAAACTGCTTCAGGGTGAACCCTTTCCCACAAACATCACAGACGTGTGGCCTTTCGCCTACAGGTGAAAAACAGACCCGGGAGTGAATTTAGCATCCAGTAAAGACGAGACGTTTGACCGCCTGAACGCGGAGTCAGCATTTGTACCGTTGTTTTCCGTTTAAAGTCTCTTCTGATCATGTTTTACAACTTTACTACTTTTACATTCTTTGTGCTCCTTTCGTTCATACAATAAAACGCTCAGCTCTTTCACAATTAGTCCAACTTTTAGTATTTTTGACTTTTTAAACGACTCAATTAAGAAATACACACTGACATCTCTTCAGTCCCTTCACTGTTAGTGTGCATAAAGTGCGCACTACTATCGTATTTTCCACCGTACACATCGCACCGCCTTATAAGTCGCATCAGTCCAGAAATGTCTAACAAAGAAGAAAAATCCATTAATACGTCGCATCTATTGTGCGTTACCGCTGGCAACCCAGAAATTTGGGCTGGTGTTGTGGCAAAAATTGATCGGCTGCCAAACGGTGGCCAGGGGAGCGTGCACAGGAGGACTTTAACAAGATTAATACTTAAAAACAATTATCTGTTTGCTCGACATTATAGTAAAAGTGTATCTCAGTTGAACTTTTACTTAATAAATGCACTTTAATGGTCAAATTAGCTGCATTTCACCGGGGCGGCGCAGCGAAATGAAGCCGATTTAACTGTTGCTCCAGGCAAGCTGGATGAAGGTGGCAGTGTATGGCAAGCCAATTGTGTCATTAATAGCCACTTTTACCTATTACAAGATACAACAGCATGCCATACAACAAGACTGCCATCTAGCTTCTGAAAATGTTAGTGTTCAATATTTTCAATCAGAATGAATGAAAACGGTCATATCTCAACCAAAATTTATTTATAAATATGGAAAAAAATCCATAAATAAATTGTTTCAGTGTTTAAATCACATGGCATGTGAATTATGCAAAAAAAAAAAAACTGCGACTTATAGGGCGAAAAATACGGTACTAGTATAGTAATAGTACTAGACATACCAGTAACAGTATAGTAACCATGCTGATAGTAGTACTAGAAATAGTATAGTACAAGTTGTACTAATACTGGTAAAGTACTAATATACTGGACAGGTTGCAAGTCCGTCACAGAGCTTTAAGCTACTGTTAGAAAAGTAGCTAACAGTAGCTGCAGCGTTTTGAAGCTAAAAGCTACAATCAGAAGCTTCTCACACAATGAAAACCGACGTTGGATCAGACGTCGCATGTTGGCAGCGGAAGCTCGTTCAGTCTGAATAAAATGGTCAAATGTGTGTTTTTGAATCAAAACCTGCCTGTGTGAAGCATCATGTGATTGTCGAGGCTTCGCTGCAAAGAAAAGCCTCTGCCACACTGGGAGCAGAGGAAGGTTTTCCCTGCGTTGGCCCCGTGGACGGCCTGGTGAGCTTTGAGCTGCGGCGCCGTGCTGAACGTCTTCCTGCAGCGTTTGCAGCTCAGAGTTTTCTTCCTCCGGATCCGATCCCCCGCTTTTGGGGGACCGTCACCGCCAGCTGGTTCTGGTTCCTCCTGACAAGAATTCAGAACCGTGCAGATTTATTCTTGATTTTAGTCGCGCTAACATAAAGAGAGGATCAAATAAATGCTTCACTTAAAACCAAAACAATATATAAACTCTGTTGAGATTTTCCATGCAGTAAAATAAAACAGTTTGTTTTAACTGTCAATCACTCGGATCTGTCTCACTGACTGAACTGAACAACGCTACATGTAAAAACAACAACGAGACAGATGCTCGCTTCAGGAAGCCTTCCAGACGGTAATCCAGCTGCAAGTCATCTGGAAGCAGCACCACAGATGACCTATGACCCCAAAGAGACCCTCCGTAGGACTATTTTAGAGTATAAATATGAAATATTTTTCCAAATTAAAACCCAACATAGAAGTTAATAAATAAAACAACAACCTTGTGGTCCAGGTCAGCATCCTCCGGGTCGGCGTCATCCTGACACTGATCAGGACCAGAGGAGGCCTGGTGGACCTCCAGAGCCTCTTCTTTTATTAAAACAAGCAGCGGGCTGTCCTGGGAGAGAATAATATCGAAACAAAGACAACAAGGTGTTTTAATTAACTCAGAAATAAATAAATAAATAAAAATAAAGACAAGGTTCTGTCAGGTGAGGACTCCCACGTTCCAGATAAAAACAAGAACCCTGCAGCTTTCAGAACCTCTGAGGAAATAATCCGTCCTTTTCTTTTGTAAACAGACTTTTTATTTTGGTAAAATTCTTCTTGCTGCCTTTTAATCCTCCTTTAGTTGTTGTTGTTCCTCAGTTGTGCTCAGAGGTTTCAACAGAATTCAAGTGTTTTATCATCATTCGCATCACATGCGGTGATGAGGTGGAATGAAATTGTGTACACGGGGTCCCAGTTACATCCAAAAATAACAAAAATATAAATTGTAAAAAGAAACGGTAAATAAGGATCTAAGATATAAACTAAGAAATATGATAAACACTAATGGTGCAAAACAATACGCCGAACAACAGCAGCATGGATCATTAGCACCCTGATGACCCATCGTTAGGCTGATGGTCCTTGATCATGTGAGCAGATGGTTCTGGTCATCAGCAGCAAACTGGTTGATCCACTCTGAGAAGGTGCTATTTATAAGACTGAGCTGAATACAGCACCTCAGACTGAGGAAGTCTCTCGGATGAAGGACGAAACGTTTCTACATTTTGTTTTGTTTTTTTTAAATGTCCAGAGGACCAGATTTAACTTTTTTAGATTTTCTACCTGGATTACTGAGCGTGCGTCAGGAGAAGTTTGTACGTTTTATTACTTACAGCAGGACACACGTCAAGGAGGAACTAATCAGACTAAATTTCAAATGTTTGATGAAAAAGTCGGGCGAAGAGAAGAACGTCGTGAGCAAGAAGCTCAAAAGAAGTGAAGAGTTTTACCTGATAATTTCCGCCCCTCAGGTGAATTACAGGCGAGGGTGTCACTCCACAACCAGGGGAAGCTACAGCTGTTTCAAAACAAACAAACAAACAAAATATATATATATAAATATATATATAAAGTCATGGCCGTGAAGAAGAAGAGCTCCTCACCTCCGCCTCTCTTCATCTCGTTGCTCAGAGGTTCTTCTTTGTCTCCGTCGCTCAGAAAGCTCCTCTCCTCCGTCAGAACCTCCACCTCCGCCTGGACTCCTCCGCTCCCCACCAGCACCAGCTCTGTCTCCACCCCCGTCAGCCTCCCCCTCAGGGCCTCCATCTCTGCTGTCCCCTGCAACGCCCGAAAAACCGAGTCAGAGCCAGGACCGAGACCCGGTAAATGGACCCAGCACTGATGAGATGGTGACGAAGTTTACTTCCTGCTGCAGCGCAGACGAACACTCCTCGAACATCTGGCAGATATTCTCCACGACTTCCTGAGCCAAAGACGCCATGAAAAAGCTGAAGTGCATCAGCTGAAAGGAAGAACACCATCAGCTGAAAACGGCAACAAGGCTGCTAATCACAACATTAAAGCCCAAGAACAAACAAACACAAGCCGAACGCTGAGTCTGTATTTTAGCTGCTGATCTGCTACTTTTAGCTTCTAGCAAACACTTTGCTCCTACTTCTGTCTCAGATAGCACTTTAATAATTTTGGCTTTTATCCAATGTTCTGCTTCTTTTAGCTTTAACTAGTCATTAGCTACTTTTATCATGCATTTCCATATTTATAACTTGTGTTTTGATACTTTTAAGAATGTTCTTTTAGCTTTTTGTTACTTGTAGTTTTTAGCTACTATACTGCTTTTTCTTCTTTCGGCTGCTCCTTTTCTCAGGAGTCTAACTCGCACGAAGACTTGGCGACAGTTTGTACGCCAGATGTCCTTCCAGACGCACCGAGCTACCACAGCCCTCTGTGTGGAGCAGAGCTGCTGTCTAGGGCGCCCGGGGGAGCAGATGGTGGGGGTTAAGTGCCTTGCTCAAGGGCCCAGAGTGGGACAAATGAGGGTGGAGGCAGGTGTTTCAGCTTTTCCACCCACATTTTGATGTTGTCAGTCCAGGGAGTTGAACAGGCGACCTTCCCATCACACGCCCACCTTCTCCACCCTCTGTGCCACCGCTCCCCTTTTTTTTTTAAGCTACATTTTGCTACTTTTAGCTTTTGTCTAGCATTTTTAAAGGCGGTATTGCACATTGCTCTGTTTAAACTCAAAGTTCAGTCAGTTGAACATGGAATGGTTGTTTTTAAGTTTCTCTAAAATGTGTCCAGTCAGTGGTGGATCAGATATTTTGCTAACAGACAGACTCTATCAGCTCATATCAACTGAAGACCCCGATGTGCTGCTCTTGTTGTATCTGTTGCGAGCACCTCGGCTAAAATTCAACAGAACAGGTTTCCCAACGGTTGGCTGTGGCGGCCATCTTGAATAGGATGTAGACGATTTGGATCCAGTTCGGAGGAAACCTGTAGCTGCTTGGAAACATAAAAACAAACGGAAAGGTCCGAACCTGGGTCGCTTCTAGACTTTAGTTCAACTTCAGTAAAATAAATCTACGAGTTGAGTCGTTATTTAATTTAAAACATCGTCTCAGTTCAGATAAACAGTCGAGTCAAGCAGAAACAGCGGCAGCTAGCTGTTCTATTTCTATGATCGGCTGCCTTTCTCCCAGGACCAGGAGGCGCGAAACCGGAACCAACCAGAGCTAGAACCGACACGGAGTAACCATGTACCTTCTCGTCCGGGGATTCTTGTGCGTTTTCGGTTCGAGCTGGATCGGAACCGCCGATGATTTTCGAGACTTCGGACACAGTTGCGTTCACCACGATATCCAAAATGGCGCGAACTTGCGTCTCCAGTTCCGACATCTTGACGAGCCGTTGTAAACCTTTGCTCGGTTCGATACTTTATTGGACTCTTTTTGGAATTTAGCTTTAGTCCAGAGATGTTACAGTTCTGGTGAAAGAAAACCAACTTCCCATTTGGACTTTCTTGTTCCGGGTTCATGCACTTCAAAGTAAAATCCTTCGGGCCGCTGAGCTTCTCAGCCGCAGAATTTAGATCACACTCACAGATTTAAGCAAATGCTCCTAATTTAAACCGCATAATTTAGAGCTAAATACATTTTTTTTAAATTGTAGAATGTTTTGGAAAGAAATAAAAGTCATGGGAAAATTGATTTTTTTTTGGTTTGTTTTATTGTGAAAGGGTTTACAGGAAACATTCACTTCCCAGCCCTACATTTTAAAGTTTGTACTGCCCTCTAGCGGTCAGAGAACAAAGTGCAACACTAAACGTATGTAATATTTCTAGTACTGTACAGGGTGTTTTAATATTAATAAATAAATATATATATATATTTTTTTTTTTTCAAAAATTTCCTTTTTTTTCCATACACTAACCTAAAAACCTAAACTAAAAAATAAAAATGTGTTTCAGGAGGGTTTTATAAAGTCAACCCTCAATACTGGGTTCAGTCTGTTGGAGGTGATTGCAGCTGACGGGATGATATCAGGACTCTTCGAGCGCGTTCGGCAGCGTTTTGTCATATTTCTCGCTACACTTATGCCTCCTGAGCAGCCTGGAGTCGGAGAACCCGAGTCCGCAGCTGCTGCAGGAGTGCGGCCTTTCCCCCGTGTGGATCTGCATGTGAAACTTAACGTGTCCGAGCTGCCGGAAGCAAACGCCACAGACCTCGCACTCGTACGGCTTCTCCCCCGTGTGGATCCGCCGGTGCCGCAGGTAGTTTGTGTAGAGCCTGAAGGCCTTTCCGCACTGCTCACACCTGTGCGGTTTTTCTCCTGAGTGCTGCAGTCTGTGGGACACGAGCGCCTGACGGATGATAAATCTTTCTCCGCAGACGTCACAGGCGAACGGCCGTTCTCCCGAATGGACCCGGAGGTGGTATTCGTAGGTGGCTTTGTAGAAAAAGGACCTGCCGCACTGGCTGCAGGTGTGCTTCGTGTCACCTCTGTGGATCAACTCGTGTCTCCTCAGTGAAGCTGCCGAGTCAAAGCCTTTGTGGCAGTGGCCGCAGCTGAGCGGCGTCACGTCGACGGTTGTTTTGTCCCGTCGGTAGATAACTCTGCGGTCGCCTCGCTCTCCAGTTCGCTTCCTGAAGCCCCGCTTCTCGTCATGAGTTACTTTCTGGTGTTTCTTCAGCTGGCAGTTGTACAGAAAAGTCTTTCCGCAGAGATCGCACATGAACGCCTTCGTAGCTCCGTGAAGAAGCATGTGAGCCTTCAGCTTGTTGTCCTGCATGAAGCTCTTCCCGCAGACCTTACAGCCGAACGGTGTTTCCCCGGTGTGGATGCGGATGTGCCTCCTTAGGTTCTGCCGGAGGGTGAAGCCGGCTCCACACGTCTCGCAGGAAAACCGTTTCCCTCTGTGGACAGCCTGGTGCGTTCGCAGCGATCGCCTCCCTGTGAAGGTTTTCCCGCACACCAAACATCCGTATGGATGCTCTCCGGTGTGGACGCTCCGGTGGCACTGCAGGCTGATGGCGTGACGGAAACTCTCCCCGCACTCGGCGCAGTTGTGCGGCTTCTCCACCAGGTGCACGACGTGGTGAGCCTGCAGGTGGCGTTTGGTTTTGAAGGCCTTCCCGCAGGCGGAGCAGCTGAACGGCCGCGTGTCCGTGTGCACGAGCTGGTGAGTCTTCAGGCACGTTTTGGTTTTGAAAGTCTTCTCGCAGAGCTGGCACTGGAAGGACGTGTATTTCTTCTCTTCGTGTCGCAGCACGTGGAACTCGAAGGTTTCTGCGCTCCTGAATCTTCGTGGGCACTGGTCGCAGGTGAACGGCCACCGTTCTCTGTGGGCGTTCATGTGCTTCATCAGGTGAACGTGACGGTTAAAACTCTTCTCACAAACTTCACAAACAAACACCTTCGCTTTGGTTCTGACCACAGGTTCACGCGGGCTTTGGAGCTCCGAGGTGTTCGTGGCGGCAAAATCCCGTGCTGAATCTAAACAGGAGGAGAAAAAGGTAAAAGTCAAACTTATCAAACATTTAAATAAAAGCCTAGCTTCCCTGAAAGGAATGCATATCACCCGCAACCTTACACTTTGGTCAAACCTTGAAAATAACCGTGTTGTGAAGGACACTCAGCTACTACCACACCAAGTTTGAGCTCAATATCTGCAAAGTTGACAGAGTTATGGCCATTTTTATTTTTACATCTGTTAGCTGCCTGTGGCGGCCATCTTGAATTGACTCAGCTACGAGCATCTAGTGATTAATTTCTAAGAGTTTCAATAAAATTGAGCTGGTGGTTCAAGAGGTATTTTGCTAACAGACAAACACACCAACACAGACAGGAATATTTCAGTAATTATCAGTAATACTATAACGAGTATTGTTTAGCAGTTATGATAATTTGATGGTTTAACCAAAACAACTTTTCACTCCAGTAAAGGGCGACTTCCTGTGCAACAATGTTGGTTATTTCCATATTTAACATTTAGCGTCTCACCTCGTCCATTTGGTGGAGATGAAGACACTTCCTCGACCGTCTCTCCGTCTAAATGAGAAACGAAAGTGAAAATTTAAACATTTCAAAGCTGGAATCAGCACAAAAGTAGCCAAAGTTTGACTCAGGGTGATAGTTTGTGCCGTCGAGTCAAAACTGGATGAAAATTTTGTTTTTTTCTGGATTAAAATTGTATTTACGGTAATAACTGCTAATAAACGAGATGTTCTCTTCAAGGAATTTTTTGGAAATGTTTAGTTTTGCAGAAAGAGCAACAACTTTCAGTGAGTGTTTGCTCCTGCTGATCCTCACGTCTGTCCTGATCGGCAGCAGGCGGAGGGTCGTCCTCGCCCTCTTTTGGTTTCATCGTCAACTTTCCGAGCGGCTTCAGGGTGAAGATGAGCCCGCTCTCCTGGAACAGCACCGGGCAGCCGCTCACGACGTTCTCCCTCCACAGGTTGGAGTTCTCCAAGCTTTCTGTGACGGCCTTCAGCTCGCTCTCCAGCCGTCCCACTCGGGCCTTGAGAGAGGAGTTCTCAGCGAGCAGCAGCTGAGCGAAAACGCTGCTGATCTTTCTGGTCGCCTCGTGTGTCAACAAATCCACCATGCTGCCAAAATCTGGCTGCAACCATTTAAACAGAAGAACATGAAATCATCAGAATTCAAATGGGAGAAATGCATCATATGAATGTTCCTTCTATGAAACAAGCAATAACAACTCAGTTCTACTGAGCTGCTAATCCTGATGTTCAAAGTAGAAATAAAGCCCTGGTGGATATTCTGCTGAGTTATGAACTAGAATGGATGGAAAGCAACTGAATTATGCATTAAATAAAAAATAAAAACTGTCAGCAGGCAGCAAAAAGCAATCAATGCAAAAACCAAAATTAAATAAGACCACTAAAACATGACAATAGAAAGGGTTGGCTCTTGAAAAAGTGAGGAGAAAAGTGCTGGATCAAGATTCTTGCACGATAATAAGGAAATTTAATGAGGATATACAGATTTTTTAAAAATAAATAAAATGATACACAAGCCAACAGTGTGTCTCTGGTTCTGGTCCCAAGTCAAGAGGGTGGCTTGTCCAAGAGGACAGAGTGAGATGGAGGAGGACTTGCTGTGAAGACGGGAACAGCTGAAAGAAGATAATTGTATTGTTTTTAAAAATGTAAACAGTTGTTGCCATGTTCTGTGACACTAATATGTTGTGACTACAGGGGGCGCTGTTGAACCCTCAACGTTAGAGAATGCTACGCAAAAAGCGTACGTACGTATGCCAAGTTACAACAGGTTATCTCAGGACGCTGAACAAAAATATTCACATTATAAATTATAACGTTATCTATCTAAAGAAGGAAGCCAGCAGACGCGTTGAGTCTTCATTTAAATTTATTCACAATTTTATTTAATCAAAAATTTAATACAGGTTTTAATTTAATTTCTTCATATACGTTTTTTTAATGGAATAAATATTACCATTAGCAATAACAATTTTAACCGCAAAAATACACTTTTAAACGCACAAAATTGGATTTAGCGTGATGTTTATCGCTCCGTCCCAACGCCATGAATGTACGTTATCTGCGTAACAAACTATTCTTGAAGCTTTCCTCCGCGGAGTCAAAATATGTGACGGTCACAAAATACGGACTTTAAATAGTTTCCTACTGGTATATTCCGTAAGTTATTGGTAAATAAATGTATAATGTTGCAAATAAAAATCCTACAGTAACATTTGAGTCGATATTGATTTTATTTTTAAAGGTTTGTCCGGCCGAGGAGTCCGCCATGTTTGTTGTTGTTAGTGTCTCCACCCCGCTCGGTTTCTTTCCGCGGGACAATCTCCTTCAAACACAGTTTCTGATCCTCCGAACAGAGGCAGAGCCGTTACTCACCCCGCGGTCCAGTTTCTTTTGGACGGTGTTCTTGTCCGAACCTCCGACCACATCGACCGCAGCCTCTATGAGCGTCTCTATTATGGACTTTACTTCAGAGTAAAACACGGAACTGCCCGACATTTTACCGTTAAACCCCTAAAATCACGAAAGAACGAGTCATTTTACCCGGATGTGGAATTACCGGGTTTAAACATTTCAAAATAAGAGTCCTAGTCACGTCTCACGTACTTTAATGGCAAAATAAAGACGAAAACTATACACTGTCGTTAAATTTACGTTACAAAATCATTTTACTTTCACTTCTGTTCGAAAAATAATATTTTTAAATTAAATTCAGCAGAATAAAATCACAAAACCTAAATAAGAATAAAAAAATTCTGCATCAAATCATCTAGGAACTAAGTTTACTGTCTTGAAACCTCTAAAGCTTATCTAAATTTTTATATTTAAGTTGTAGAAGCATTTAAAAAATAACTACAGATTATAATTTTAACAAAATTGATTTTTCTTTTGAATCAAAAACTCCTAAAAAAAAAAAAAGACAAAAGCAAACCTTTGTTGAGTTTAGCTGCCAATAATCTTATTAAATACTTAAAATACTGTAATCCATTGCATTTCAAGAATAATGTTAAACTGATGTGAACTTAAACCCTTCATTTCTTAAACTAGCTCACATAATTACAGTAATTTCCCCGTTGGTGATTAATAGAGTACAATAAAAAATGTTTTCAGTTTGAATTAGTGACGTCCAAAAAATATTCTTTCAATCTGAAAACATCTCGTTAATAATGGAGCACATTAGCTAAAGAGGAAAATTAGTTTTTGAGTCAGATATATTTTGAGTGCAAGACGGTACTTATTGCAAAGTATGAAATAAAATCCATTTTTTTAAATCTTGCGTTTCTTCCAGAAGTTTTGATAATTTTGATATGCGGGTCTGCACTCGATGTAAACAAAACTCAGGCTGCTCAGAGCCAACTTGCCATTTTTTTTACGTTCTCTCTTTCTAAATGCTTGCGAAGTGCCACAAAATATGGACTATTTATTAAAAAATCTAGCTCATGTTGCATTTTAAATTGTGTTTTTATTTAAATCAAAAACACTTTCCTGTTTTTAATCATGCAGATGTTTTCGAGTCCTTCCAAAGTTGTTAGAGAAAATTAAAACAGTAAGCTGCATCAGTTTGTCTGATTTTACTAAACTTATTTACCAAAACGAACAAAGTTTTTATTAGAGGTTGGCTTTGCGAGTATTTTTCATCTCATTGTTAGAAACTAGCGACACCATATTTTATTGTCTGAAAACAGACGAGATAAAAACATTTAGTTATGTTGAAAATTATAAATAATCTCATGAGCACAGTCAGGAACTGTCAGCTCAGCAGAAAAACTGATATTTTTCTAATTCTGGTGGAAGTTCTGCACAGAGCATGAAAGTAAGCGACGCGTTTATTAACTCATGGTAAACTCTGCTCTTGCATGCTTGTATTAAGTTATCATTGGGGATTAAATTCATAAAATTATTGCAATACAGCCGGAGAGATTAACTTTTTCTGTTGAAATATAAAAATGACTTAAGTTCGTGTCCTTTTTGGGCCCTGGAGCCACAGGTTGCAGACCCGTGGTGAAATCAGGCACGAGCAGAATCTCTGAGTTGAATCTGCTGCTAAACGTGAAAGAGAAAAAATGAAGCCGTCATCAGGAATAAACGCTGAGGATCACGAACGGACGTCTCCACCTCAAACACATTTTACAACAAGTTTTTAATTTCAGGACACGTCAACGATCGCTACGAGAAAAATATTCAAACTCTGTGATTTTTATTTTTCCACTTTAAAGCCTCTAATTACTAGAAGAGCCCAGTTTGTTGAGCTAAGAGCCGTCGCAGCTGTGCTTCTTGAACTGCCGCGAGTCGGAGAAGCCGCGTCCACACTGCTGACACGAGTAGAGCTTCTGGCCCGTGTGGATCTGCAGGTGGGACTTGAGCTGGTTGGACTGGTGGAACTTCTTCTGACAGTACATACATTCGAAAGGTTTCTCCCCGGTGTGGATTCGCACGTGTCTGTAGAAGTTGCCGTCCGTCCTGAAGGCCTTGCCGCACTGATCGCACTTGTACGGTTTCTCTCCCGTGTGAATGCGCTCGTGCTGCTTCAGGCTGGCTGTGTGGAAGAACCTCTTCCCACACACGTCACAAACGAACGGCTTCTCCCCCGAGTGGCTCCGCAGGTGGTAGCTGAAGGAGTACTTGCTGTGAAAAGCCTTCCCGCAGATGCCGCACTGGAACTCCTTGTGCTCGCTGTGGCCCTTCTCGTGGAGCTTGAGCGAGCACGCGGAGCTGAAACCCTTCAGGCAGACTTTGCAGCTGAACGGTTTAACCAGCGACTTGTTCTGCCGTCTGGTCAGGAACAGACCCTCTGAACACTGGGACTTGTCGGCGTGCACAAACTTCTGATGGATCTGCAGCCTGCAGTTGAAGAGGAAGGTCTTCCCGCAGAGGTCGCACATGAACGGCTTCCTGGCGCCGTGGATCAGCATGTGGGACTTGAGCTTGTTGTTGTCGGAAAAGCTGATGCCACAGTCCTGGCAGGTGAACGGTTTCTCCCCCGTGTGGAGGCGGAGGTGCCTTTTCAAGTTGTTGTTGAGGTTGAACCTCGCGCCACATATGTGGCACGTGAACGGCTTCTCTCCCGTGTGGATCACTTTGTGTCTTTTCAGAGCGGTGCCGGTCCGGTACGAGCGGCTGCACAGGTCGCAGGAGAACGGCCGGTCGCCCGTGTGCTTCCTCTTGTGCACGGTGAGCGAGTGGGCATACTTGAAGGACTCCTCGCACATGGTGCATTTGTACTTCTTGGCGTTGGTGTGGACCTTCTGGTGGAAGCGCAGGGTGTCCTTGCTCTTGAACTCCTTCCCGCACGTGGCGCAGCTGAACGGCCGCTCCTCCGAGTGCACGGCCAGGTGGCACCGGAGCTGCACCGACGTCTTGCAGGTCTTGTCGCAGAACTGACACTTGAACAGCTGGTTCTTCTTCTCGTGGCGCAGAAGGTGGTTTTCCAGAGACTGCTGGACCCTGAACGTTTTCGCGCACTGGTCGCAGGCGAACGGCTTCGGTGGTTTGGACACCTGGTGACGTTTGAGGTGGTTCTGGAGCGACTGCTCCTTCTTGAAGGACCTCTTACAACAAACACAAGGGAAGGGCAGCGGGGCTTTCGTCGACTCGTGACGCAGAAGGTGATTTTCAAGAGACTTCTTCTCCAGGAAGCTTCTGCTGCACTGCTCACATGGAAAAGGCTTTTTGTGGACCTTCATGTGTTTCTTCAGATCACCTTTCCAGTGAAACCCGGTATCGCAGAGCTCGCAGAAGAACCGCTTCCCCGTCTGAGACTCTGTTCTTCTGAGACTTCTCCCCGGCACCTCATCCAGCTTCACTTGTTTCTCCTCTGAGAGGTTGTCAGAAGAAACTGGAAGTGAGGAGGTACAAGACACGTCAGTAAACTCGTATTTGACACCTGGACCCGTTCGGTTCTGGCAGCTTCTCTCATACCTCCTTCAGTTTGATCACTTCCTCCTCTCGTTTCCCCTGAGGGTCCGTCCTCGATGGAGTTCTGTGATGGCTGTAAAGACAAAGATTTCACTTTAACTGCACGTTTCTTCAATGTTGCACCTTCAACACAGATCTAAGAACGTGAAACATAATAATGTCTTATAATAAAATAATAAATTTTTTGGTTATAGTTTGACTTTATGTCCTTACAGACAGAGCGGAGACACCAAACCTTTTCCTGAGTGAAGTCCAGACCACCGACGATGCTGGAGTCTGGACTGGGTGCGTCCTGAGGTGCAGACTCAGGGGACCGTGGGAGTTTCAGGTCCAGGTCCAGCATCAGCGTTTCAGAGACGTTTAGAGAAGGCAGGGTGGTCTGAGTGACGACTTCGTTGGCGCCCACCACCAGCACCGTGGAGGCGGAGGGGATCGAGCTGATAAAGATCTCCGGAGCTGCTGCGACTGCGGAGACCGTCACGAAGGAGGTCGGGGACCCGGGGACGACCTCAGTGCCTCCTGCTGAAGCTAAAGGCGAGTTTGGGGCGAGGTCTTGGTCAGATTTAACCCCCGTCTGAATGGAGGGGACAGACGTCTGACATCCTCCTGAGTTCAAAGACACAAATTGTCTCAAAGTTTCAGACATCTAAAACTTACAAGTTCAAACTACAACTTTTACAGTTTCAGGTCCGCAAACAAATGGACCAAACACGAGACACTTTGGCCTCAGTTACAGGAACACAACAAATTACAGGCACAGCAGGAGCACGTCACCCCCACCCCATTTCATTTCACCCAGAGGCTCAGTGGGATTAACCTGTATAAATAAAGGTTGAATGAATTTAAAGCCAGTCTTAGTCTGAGGTCATCTTGTGGTTAGAGATGATGTCACATTGTGGTCCAACCTTACAATAACTTTTGGTGTAATCTCATGCTGATGATCTGGGAGTGCAATCATTTTTGTGTTTCTCTAAGGACAGCTGGCTGTGGCAGCCATCTTGAATCAGATTAATCCTACATGCAATGATTACTTTCTGAAAGTTTCACCAAAATGTCTCTAATTATTACAGCAACGATGGAAAGTTGATTTATGACCAAAACAAGGCGTGATCTCTGTCAGTAGTTCACCACCTGACCAGTTGGGAGTGACGTCATCCTCTCACCTGTAGTTGAACCGAGAACCACCTGCAGCATGTCCGCAGGCTCCTCCTGGGTCTTGCTGCCTCCTTCACTGATGGTCTTCAGCTCCTTCTCCAGCTGCTCCATGTCCCTGCCCAGCTGACCCACCCTGGCCTCCAGCTCCTGCTCCAGCCGCCCGGCTTTCCTCCGCAGGACGTCCTCCAGCTGCTCCACCTTGGCCCGCAGAGCCTCGTTCTCCTCGCACAGCTCCGAGCAGAGCTCCGCGAACACCGTTTGGATCCGAGCCACCAGGCTCATCTCTATCTCCCGGATCTCTCCGAACCTCAGCCTCTTCTGCTCTTCCCAGTCCCAGTCCGGCGCCTCTTTCGCCCAAACATCCCTGAACGCAGACACGGTGGACCGGATGGCGACTTCCACCACAGACGCCACTTCTCTGCCGAAGCGCGCCTCCATTTCCTGGTTCAGATCCGAAACTCAGCTCGTTGAAAAAACACGCGTCGTACATTTAACCTTAAATACAAACTAAAACTGGTTAAAGTTCGAATCTCGACGCAACGACTTTCCTTAGATCTCCTGTCAACAGTAACGTTCGTTTCCCTGTAAACGGTGCGTCAACGAAAATGTTCCGTACTTTACTTCCGCTTTATCTTAGAACCGTGACGAACGTTCCGCGATATCGAATTACCGCCCCCTGCTGGCTGCGGTCACAATTACACGTTCACGTTTAGACAGGAAATCAAATAAATCCATTAAAAGTAGAATAAAAACATTCAGATTTTGTTTTTAATTTTCCACTGTATTTTTATGGTATTTACATATTTTTCTAATACTCTTGACTGTGATGGTTTTGTCCTCTCTCAGTTTACTTTTCATCCAGAGACATTTTTTCACTGGTTTCCCTCCTGGGCCGGTTCCTCCACAGCCCTGCCACAAATAAGAACCAAGACGTAGGTATCTGTTTTAATCTTATGAGAACCAATCATATGTGTTTTTAAAATTTATTTATTTTGGGATGTTAATATCTATTTTTATTAAGAATTTTGTTAATTTATAATTTTATTTTTCACTTCTTTTTACTTGTCATCTCTTTTTTTTTATTTTCTGCAGACCTGTCACCTAAAGTTCCTGATTTAAAAGGTATATTTATGTGAATTTCATTATATGTTGTTAATTCTTTTCCATATCTGTTTGTCGTCTCTGGATAAAATGATTAGTTTTCTAAATTTAAATGACACAAAACTGGATCTGAAGTGGATTTATGATTTGGACTTGTGTTTTTTTTCTAGTATACAGTGCTCTAATGTGACTTTTGGTGCTGTATAAACAAAACTGAACAGAACTGAAATTTCAAATACAGTATTAGAATTAAACACAGAGAGAAATAAATATTTTTTCCTATGAACGAGACCACAAACCCAGTTTAAAGGCGTCATACAAAAAACACAAACAAATTTTGAGTATCACAATCCGTTTTTATCAATTCAAAGAATCATTTGTACAGAGCCAGTGATTTACAGCGGATTATTTAATCCAGAACGGGTCCATTCATTCACCTTTGCTCATGTTAGTGTGGCCCGGTGGTTCGGTGACGGTACAGTGGACAAACGGGACTTTCGGACATGCAGCGGTTCTGTTCTGTCAGTCTTTCATGCAACCTCTTGGTCCTGATGCGGTTGTGTGGATCAGCTCAGACTCAGAGCAGAGAAACACAACGAAGACCAGAGGCAGATTTCTCAGCTCCATCATGAATAAACTTTGTTTTCTCAGATGTGACTTCCTGCTGTGTAGGCAGGTGGACCGGGCAGGCCGGGGGTCAGGTGGCCAGTGGTGCTCGGGGCTCTTAAGGGTCAGAAAGTTGCACAGACTTTCTGCTTCTGAGTCTTTGGCAGGTGGTACAACGTTCGCCTAACTTTAAGAAAAATCTGCTTTAAGTTGGGAGAGTTTCTGCAAAGGTCCACGAGTCTGATGTTTCCTGAAGCACTCGAACCAAAGACACGAGACAGCTGCGGAAAATGCTGAGCTGTATTAATATTTCTGCAGAAATTAACCGTTTGCATTCGGGTGTTGAATAACGAGACTAATTCCACGAGTCCTAAGATGGTTCATAAGAACAGCGCTCACTCAAATCTGACATTAATTCCTTTTAAACTGGGTAATTTATAAGAACCGTGGTCAGTTACACACGGAGCTTTAAAAAACCAAGACGGAGAAATAAACGCACACTTCATTCAGTGTCCTCTGAGCCCTTTGTTGAAAGATATTTTCTGATCGGTTTGTTTCAGGCAGTGTGTTTGTTTAAATGATGAATAAAACCCCTGATGTGAATTTTGATCTCTCTCCGAGTGGTTAGAAAAGAATAAACCAACATATTAGAAAACAAATTCAACCCTGACTACAGTGCATACATTAGGGCAGCAGCAAACTTTATTATGCATTAAACTATTTTAAATCTGTTTTATTTGACGTTGTGATGTTTAAGATCACTCATAAAAAGTCAGAAAACAATAAAAAACAAAGCATTAATTAAATGTTTTGATCATAATTTCAATAATTTACAGATTAGAAACACAATTCCTCATCTGTTATTTCCTGTTTTAAGCATCACTTCTTATTCTGGACTTCAGTTGTAAAAAGCTCAAACAGGAAATTAAAAACCTTTAATTTAAAGGCCTCTGACGAAACTCTTCCCACCGGTCTTGATCGTTTGTCCAGAATCTGCTGGATCCCCAGAACCACTGATCACCTGGCCTCCGCTCTGCAACAAGCCGGCGTCTCTTTAGTGCAAAAGAAAAGTTGCATAAAGTCTCGTGGACATCATCATCATCATCGTACGGACAACATGAATCCCTGAACACATGGTCAAACATTAGACACCACTTCACTGCCACGTGTTCGAACCTTCGGTTCTTCTGCTTTGAAGAAACACAGACGCTGCCTTTCTTTAACAGGCGGCACTTTTCTTCTCACGGCGTCCATGTTCAAGTCTTGACCGTTTCTGAAAGTCCTTTCATGAGAGCCGAGGAAGCATTTTAACAAAAACCATCCGTCCGTTTCCAGAGTGGACAGAAAACAGCGACTATGAATACATGAACGATACATAAAAAGGAGTTTATTCGTCGTCATATCTGCGGCTGACAGGCGGATGTGAACGGGACACGTAGCCGGCTCCTTTCAAAACGTTTTCCCTGCAGTTTTCGCCTGCGTGACGTTCAGCAGCAGCTAAAGACGGTTTGATACGTCGCTGGAGCCTGAAGGGCTCACTGCTGTCACCTCTGAAAGTGTTTTTGTGTCCCACATGCAGGAAAATGTTTGCACTGATCTGACATTCACACCCGACGCAGACGCATTCAGTATAAAAATAACAAGTAGCAATACACACCCTGAATGCACCAAGTACATAGCCTGAAGTACCAGGTGCACACCTGCTAATTACATCACCAGGTAGGTACAAACCAGGTATGTAGACTAGAGTACCAGGTACATACCCAATACTTACCTGTGCGTATCCTGAAAGTACCAGATATGTATCCTGTAAATACCAGGTAGGACACAGTAAGCACTAAGTACCAGGTACTTACAGTCTATTAAGCATGCAAGCAACAGTTATATATCCAGGAAAAATGTAGTACTTGTTCTGCTACAAAGCCTGTAAGTACCAGGTATATACCAAGTATATGGCATGTAATTAACTGGTACTTACAGGCTGCATAGTATGTAAGTACTATATGTAGTTAGAATGTAGTAGATAAGTAAGTACCTGGTACCTAGTACAATGTACATAGTATGCGTTTACCAATAACTTATTGAGTACATAGCTTTATTCACCATGTATGCATCCAGTACTTAACTAATACACAGTACTTACAAGGTACGCAATCAGTTTACCAAGTACTTACTGGGCATGCAGCCTCAATTAGCAGGTAGCTGGTACTGGGTACTTACAGGTGATTTACCTGGTACTTTATGTATTGCTGCTTAAAAAAAAAAGTTCTCAAGACATTTTTAGATGAACCTAAACGAAGGTCAAAGTTCAGAGAAAGATTTAAAGTCGTTGATTGAAAAAAGCTAAAAAAATAAACAGCCAGAGATCATAAAATACAGTTTAGAGCTTAAAGCGACGACCTTTAACCCCCAAAACATTAATATGTTAGAAAAACTAACCTGCTCGTGAAGCATGAAGTAAATTTACCTTGCAGGTAAAAACAGCTTTGTTTTCTATAAACTAACGAATTAAATTATACTTAAATAAACTGCTCGTGTGTTTTTCTGTTTACAAACTAAACACAAAGCAAAAATGAAATCTAACGGGTTTAAGTTTTAAATTATTCACGCGACAGAAGAGGGGCCAAACACATTAAACACTGTATCTATAAAAATAGCTTCGGCTGGAATTTAAATAAAAAAATTATAAATATCAGAACGTTAATAAATGTTTTCAAACTCCGCTCTGCTTCCTGTCGATGTGTCGGTTTATGGCTTCGTGACTTTCTACAGGGAATGAAAGGAACTGAAATGCAGGCGACCGTCCTTCCTCTTCGAGCAGAAACATGCAGTCGGGAAGTTTTAGGCTGTTTGATGGTTCAGGTTCAGGGCTGGGGGGTCGGTTCTGGGGTCGGACGGGTGGTTTCAGGGTTAGGGGTCTTCAGAAATACAAAAAATAAAGAATATAAGTGCGTAGATGTGGGTTTGAGATGTGGGTGCGACTTATCTGGAAGACCGAGGCGAGGACAGCACACGGTAAGAACACGCCAACATAACCTGAGAGCTATGGACACACACGCACACATGTGCACGTTAAAGAGACTTTTTTCTCATTTTCTTTAAAACACAAAGAACAGATGCAACGATCAAACCCAAACTGAACGAGTAATAAAAAAAGATGAGGCCAACTTTCAGCCCCAAAGGCCTCATTCATTAAAAACAGCAGATTTTGTGCTTCAGACCAAAACTAAACGTGTGGCAAACACAACAAGTGACTACAAGTCAAGTCATTTTGTTATATATAAAAATATAAATATTCTCTAAAGTTCCTCAACATGTGACCGCTGTAACTTTATGTTGATTTATCAACTTATACAACAAAACGATATTCTGATGAATGAGGCCCCTGGGAACCGGAGCGTTCACAGATTTCTGATCCAATAACTCGAGTCTTGCAAATCAGACGGAGAGCTGCGGGTTTTATGCCACATAATAAATAAAAATAATAATAAATTGTCAATTCTGCAGGAAAAAGGTGATATTTCCGATTCTTTAGGTTTATGCAAGAACAAATTTCTCCTTTTTTAATAAAGGATTTCTGCTCTTTTCTCGACTTTAACCTCCCAAGAATCAGAATTAATGCTTGTGTTTATGGCGCTGCTCATGAACTAAATAAAAACAGCAGAAAATCTTTTTTTTTTTAACAGCAGTGCATTGTGGGAGATGAGACGACATGGCCAACAAAAAAAATAAAATCCTGCCTCTGTGTTTTGGCATGGTTTCATTCTCTTCTGATGTGAGGAGTAATATGAGATGAGACGTCACAGACAGACAGACGAGACTAACGGACAGACGCAGCTCATGTGCAACATGAAGCAAAGAGCTCCGTTCAGTCAGGAACCGGAGCTGCTGCAGTTCTCTGACTCCATGTGCTGAAAGAGACCAGATCAGAGCGAGCGCTGGGCTCGATCCTCCGTTTGTCCGTCCAGACGCAGCTGCTTGGTGGGCCGTGTCGGTGGTTGTTAGTGGGGGGGCTCCAGCGCCCATTTACTGTTCACACATTTGATCCCAAACAATCTGCCGCTCACTTCTTCTTACTGGACTTCTCAGAGCGTTTAGCGTCCGACTTGCCGCCTCGCTCCGACTTCTCCGATCGTTCTCCTCTCTCCTTCTCCGCCCGCTCTATCCGATCCGCCCGGTCGGAACGCTCGCCGCCTCGCTCTGACCGGTTGTCCACCTTGCTGCCGTCCCGCCGCGTCCCCTCGTCGGTGGATGAGGTAGTTGGTTGGGGCTGACCCCATCTGGCGATGTCCTCGTGCTCTGAGATGCTGGTGGCGATGATGCTCACCCAGGCTTTCAGGTCGTCCTGTGGACGGGAGGACAGACGACCAGCGTAAGCTTCACCGCGCATGTCTGTTGTTTGTGGTGTGCACGTAATGTCGTCAGTGTCTCACCTCGTCTTTTGCATGAAACAAAAACTCACTGCCGTCCTTCGTTCTGCAGTGAGAGGAGAAACGTAATGGTGAAGATTCAAGTTACAAACAATCAGATGTTTCCCTGTAACTTTGTTAGTTTTTAACTTAACAATAAAAACCTGTTCAGAGAAAATACTGGATCAGACACCTCTGAGGTACGGAAGAAACGTAGAAACATCAGAGCTTCATGGAAATGTAAAAAAAATCAGTTAGAGCCTGAGTTTCCATGAAGGACTGCACATCACCCGCCATTTTATTTTTTCTCTCTCTGTCCTCCGGTGAAACCAGACGTGTCTCCCTGTCTCCCCCCACCCACTTCCCTGCTGCGCTCTTTTGTCCTGTGAACCCTTAAAAAGCCTCTTTTTTTTCTGCATACCTCTTAATTCGAAGGATCAGCTGGTCTCTCAACAAAATCGATCAACTTCTCCCGACAGGAGTCAGGGTAAGGAGGACCCTCTTACCTCGACGGAAACATATTGGATTCATGATGACAACTGGTTTTTGCTGTTTGGCTGGTGAATTCTGGATTGTCTACAAATTCGTGTGGATGTGTCGAAGCTCGACAGCGCTCAGAATGAATGTGGGAAGCTGCAGCAGGGAGCTGGAGCAGCTGTTATCAGGACTGTGAACTTTCTGGTAGTACTCATGAACGGTGGGAATAATCTTGGAGAAGCTGTGAGCTCGACTTTTGGAGTAAAGGATCAATTCGGCTGTTTTGGAGTTCCATCAGAGAATATATACTAGCAAGACTTTAAAAAGGCAGAAACAGCAACTCACGAGTTCTGCCTGACCCAAACTGTGGCCTTGACGCCGGACTTATCTCGACTCCTCCTGGAATGTTTGGAAAACAACAAAGATGCTTTGACTGTCTCCTCACCTCTCCCTTCCCCAAGGCCGTGGACATGTGACAGAACCTCAACTGAGCTGATGATGAACGTCACCTCTTATCTGGACAATGGCTGAGGGGGGGCTCTGGACTATGCTACGACCTTCCCTTAAAATTCAATGTCTTCACCGGCCTATATGTAAATATATAACGTCTGTTTATGTTGCTTTGCTGTGGTAGGTTTTTTTGATGCCTCAAATCGTGCCCTGTCTAGGACACGGTGTGAGAAATCTTTTTTATACCGTCTCTCCTCATGTTTTCTTTCCTTTTCTCATCTAAGCAAAATATTATTCTGAATAAGAATAAGAAGGCCGCGCTTTCTATAGTTGCAGCTTTGTGCACTCCGCCCATCGTTCGGACGACTGTACGTACATGTTCGCGTTGTATCTCGGTGCAATGATAATAAAGTTTATTTTGATTCTTCCTGTGAATGAATGCACATCACCCGCCATCCTTCCTGTGAAGGAATGCACATCACCCGTCATCCTTCATGCCACAGTTCGACACTCACTGACATCAACTCTGGTTGAAAAATAAAAAAAACTGCTGCTTTGGTTAAACCCTGAAAGGTACATTTTGTATATATTTTAATCTGTCAGATTATCAGTTCGCACTTGGATCTTGTGATGTGAACGACTCTCAGCTACTACCACACCTAATTTAAACCTGATCTGTAAATTTCCCGCAGTTACAGACATTTTCGTGTAGTCTACAGGCGATCAGCGGTGGTGGCCATCTTGAATGGTGTTGAATCAAAATGTCATTATAAATACAGAAGTATTAAAGCAGCGCCTCACTTCAGCGTGAACACGTTCTTCTTCTTCTTGTAGCCGTTGGTGATGTCGCACTGGCAGTGGGAGAGGCTGAGCAGCGGCTCGTTGTTGTAGGGCGTCACCGTGTTCTTGGCGTCCTTGTAGAAACCGAGCTCCCCCTTGTTCAGCACGCAGTACAGGTTGACCCATGACCTGCTGTGGTGTGGGCAGGTGGGAGGGGGTGGGGTGGGGGGATGGAAGCACAGGTGGAGGGGAGAAGGTGAATGTGAGTGGGGCGGGGGGGAGGGACGGAGGTCGGAAGGGGAAATTGGGAGGAGTCAGGAAAAGCTGCAGAGTGGCCGTCGCTAGGCTAACACCTGACTCACCTGGCCAGAGCAGACAGGTAGGTGGGCGGGATGGACCAGCCCCAAGAAGGGAGGAGGAAACACACTGCTGAACAAACACAAATGAACGGACGGACACACAGATGGAGGAGGTGGGCAGGCATGGATGGATGGTCACATGGATAGATGGAAGCATGGATGGACACATGGATGGATGATGGATGGATAGATGATGGATGATGGTTGGATGTCAGGGGCGGGGCCTACGTACAGCTTCCTGTGTGACGCCTCAGTGTGACTCACCTTGGAGGAGACAAGACAAACAGCCAGCAGCACCGCGGGGGGAGGAGGAAGAAGACACAGAGGAGTTTGGTTAAATGCCATCTTGGCCACTCAAAGGTCTAAGACCAGGGTCTGTCCAGTCCTGGTCCACAAGGACCAGTCGACCAGAACTGGACAGGGTGCTGATTTTTCTTGTCTCAGTGTGACGACGTGCACAGCATTCCACATCAGGAGCAGACAGAGAACTGCACGTACTGTGCAAAAGTTTCAGGCCTTTTCGGTCTTTGCGTAGTGGTCCAGCGGTTTGGCGTACCTGCAGCGAAGCAAGTACGGTTAAACTCCTACAGGAATGCATATCGCCCGCCAGAGATTTACATCGAGATCATCTTACGTTGAGACATGATGGCGTTGTAGCCGTTGTGGTCAACCTTTGAAAATAAACGTACGCTCAATCTCCAGGTTGCATGTGATCTGTCTGTGCTCAGCTTTCGTGTTGGGGACGACACTCGGCTACTACCACCCCACATTTGAGCTCAACAGCTGTGAAACTTGAGCTTAGCCATCAGTAAAACTGCTGTAGATGTACACTCAACTATTACTTTCTGCACGTTTTTGTTATAAATTGTCTGCTGGGTTATGAGATATTTTGCTAACAGACCAGCAAAAGAGCACAAATACAGTCACAGGCATTTACATGCTGGCCCAACATTATTAATGTAGCGATTTGCTGCTTCCTGCAGCTTATGAGCGTGTTTAAATCGAACGCCGTCTTTAATCGTTCTTTTCAAACACGAAGACGGAACAACTTTTCTGCCCACGTCCAAACAAAGAGCGTCTCTGACTCAGAGAGTGATTCTGCTGCAGCTCATTTTTTTATCGCCAACGTAACTCAGGGCAGACTTGTTTAAATACACGCCTGAAACGTGTGCACAGTAAAGAGCTTCACCAGCAAGAAGCACGTGTGCAGATTATTATCCTGATTTAAAACCTTTTAAAGTTAGAAAAAACTAACTACATGATGTTTAGTAATAGAAATAAATTAAGTCCCATTTAAAATTGACAGTATTAAAATTCATAGACTTCATGAACTAAAATTTTTGTGTCGTTATTGATGAGAAGCTGACGTGGAAATCTCATGTAAATTACTTAAGAATAAAAATAGCTAAATCAATTGCATGACTGTATAAAGTGAAAGAGTTTTTGAATGACAAAGCTTTGTATATATTGTACAATGTAATGATTGTTCCATATTTAATCTATTGTATTGAAGTCTGGGGAAAAGCGTGCAAAACAATTACAAACCCTATTTTTATTTTACAAAAAAGAGCTATAAGAATTATTAGTAGGAAGTGCTATGGTCACCCAATAAATATATTATTTCATCAGTTGAAATTATTAAAATGTTAAGATTTGGTTGAATATAGTATTTTACAAGTCATGTATAAAAAAAAAAAATATTACCCCCAAATATTAAATTAAAATTTGTTAAAAAAGAGAGTCGTAATAACCCTAAGGGAATGGAAATGTTTGTAAAACCTCCATTTAGAACTAATCTGAAGGAGCTGTGTTGTAATTCAGGGAATAGGATTATGGGATTGACTTAATATCACCATAAACATTTCTAAAACAATTTATATGTTTAAAAAGATGATTAAGTTAAAGTTCTTGGGAAGGTATAGGACCAAGTGAAGGATGTCTAATATTTTTGTTTTCACTTTGGAGATTGTTCAATCCTAAATTGTTGTTGGTTTGAAATTATTTTATATATTTTTTAAATAAGGGGCATATATTATAAGAATTTTCTTCTTCTTTCTGCACCCTTTTCATTCATTGTTTTTCTTTTTAACGGATTAGTTTTGTTTCTTATGTTTCTTTTAAATGAACGAATAAAATAAATAAAATTAAAAACCAGGTCCAGTAGATCCAGGACCAGAGAACAACGACGTGCTCAGCTGTCCACATTATGAAAGCTGGCCCACCATATGTTCTAGTTTTTATTTTCAGAGGAACATGAAGAATAAACCCTTTGAGACTTGTTTTATGGACTTTCTAGGACAGAGTCCCAGCGTGGGTCTGCAACCTTTACAATCCAAAAACACATTTGTGCCTCTTAGATCACAAAGTTAAACGTGTCCAGAACTCTAAAACATGCTAGAACTGCTAGAACTCATCAACCGGCGGGCCGTGGGCCACTTCCAGCCTGCTGGGGGGACCTCCTCTGGTCGGTGGGCGGGGTGACCTTTGACCTACACAGTAGGCTTATTCTGCACAAGACAATATAACTCAAGTGTTACATAAAAGTAAATTTTACATTTAAAACATCTATTCAGAGTTGTTGATATTTTATTTTATATAACAGAAAATTATATTTTATGTATTTTTCAGTCAGGTCATCTGGACAGTTTCTTTTATTTGCGCTGAAACGTTTCACCTTCAATCCAGAAGGCTTCATCAGTCAAGAAACACACAACAAAATGATTCTTCCCCCAACAGCTTACTCCAAAGTGGAACAAACCAGTTCTGCTTGTGATAAGATGGTCTCTATGGTACACCCCTCTTCCATTGTCGACCCGCTTCCTTGTTGACAGTCGTGTCAAAGTGGTTGAAAACAACAAAGTCCATGCTCAATAATCCAGATATACAATCCAACATTTTTCAGTCAGGCCAACAAAGAAACTGTCCAGATGACCTGACTGAAAAATGTTGGATTGTATATCTGGATTATTGAGCATGGACTTTGTTATATTTTATGTAACAAAGGAAAATCTGCTTTAAAGCTTTGAAATATGAAATTAAAACAGTAAGAAAATGCAGCCTATAAATATAATTTTTATCTGTAGAAAAACAAGTAAAATTCTACATTTGATAGCTAAATATAAAAATTAGTTTTTTTGGCTAACTGGCTATCTAATCAATGTGTTTAGCTGCTTGTATTAGGAGTTTTATTCACATGTTTAACAAAAGGAAAGTAAATTAGTATATTTTGTTATTGTGAGAGAAAATTAAATCTTATTTATTTAAACATTTATTGGTCAAAGTTCAAACAAGCTTTGCAGACATCCACATGGGAACGCTAATGTGGACAAATTATTTTTGTGCATTTAAGTAATAACACACTAACTGAATTGTCTGAAGTTTAGGGTAAATTAAAATGCAACAAAATCAGCTTTTGCACACCTTTGACTAATGATAGTTACTTTAAGGAAAAAAAAAAACATATATATTTATTCAAAACTTAAAACAAGAATTCACCGGTGAATCCAAAACACAGCAACTAAGACTTTAGTGGATAGATTCATGAAAATCTTAGCATTGATGGAAGTTTTCACCTAAAAAAAAGTTTGATTTTTCTCAAGGCTTTGAAAATGTTCGCTGAACAGAAATAGTGAGTTTTTTTTAAAAATATAAAGTACCCTGTATGTAGTTTTTTGAAACTATTGAAGCTATTTGAAGCATCCCAACATGGGCACTGTAAAGTATTAGCAGAATAATAACGTGCACACCAGCGTCTTTCATATCTAAATGAGTGGCGATGGAGCAAAGACCGCTGGAATCTCAGCGTTTCTCCTAAACGGCCGGCCGGTTACTCTCCCACTAAAGGTCCGGCTCAGGGAGCAGACAGTCGGCAGCCTTTCAGAACCATGCTTTACCTCGTCATGTACATAACGGGGCATGTACATGTGGCACATTCATCCACTGCCATGAGCGGGCGCATGAGCGGGACTCATCCTATGCTGGAACTGGATGGGCTTTCAGCCGTGCGCGCTCAGTCCAGCCACCAGAGGGCAGCGAGGCTTCGTTCCTGGTGTCTCCGGAGGAAGCAGGATCTGTGGAGGTCAGCGTGTGTGTGCGTGCGCATGTGTGTGTGCGTCTGCTTATGAAGAACCACCAGTGAAGCACTTAAAGCATCAACATGCACAAAGTTGTCTCATGCTGTGGAGTTTCTTAATTAACGCAACTGTTTTCTAGGGCTGGACGATATGGCCAAAACTTTTATCGCGATATTTTTCTTAATTTTGGTCGATAACGATATAATTACAATATCGATATAAACAATATAAAAGCTTCAGAAAAACTGTACAAACTGTACAAATAAATTAACGTTCACCTTATTTTTGTATTTAGCCTTCAAAGAAATTTGAAATCACCATCAAATCAACATAAAACTCTCCACTTTGTCAATATTAATAGTTTTAACTTTAAACAACAACATAACCCTAACCAGATGTTTGTTGCATTGGTTTCTCTTTTGATACAGCTGTGGGTGTTTCGGGGACACGTTGGCTCAGACGTTTATTGTGTTTCATCTTGTAACTCTCAGCAGATTCTATCGAGTGGAAACGTGGAACAAGTTAGACGTGTTCCTACCGCTAGTTGGAACGACATTTTGCAGCACAAACCTGCAGTTTATCGGAGCTTAGAAAGCCGAAGCACTTCCACACCGCTGAATTAGTCTTTCCTCTCTTATCAGTTACGTCATCTGCTTTCTCTTCGCTTGTGAAAGCTTGTTCAGTCACATTCTGACGGTCATGGGAACTCATTTTGAAGCGGAAACGTAACGCGCGTTGGAGCTTTAGCCTAGCCTGCTACCGCTGACTCCTTCGAGCTGTGGTGTACGTCACCACGCACTGACGTAGTTGTGCCACGCCTTTTTTCTGTTCGGGTTGAAACTGAAGCGGCCGCTTCAACCAGATCAGAAAAAGAAATGTGTCGGCGAAACGCTGTAATCATATCGTAATGTTTTTCAAAAATATCGAAACCGTTATTGAATAAAAGTATATCGTGATACATATCAATATCGAATTATTGTCCAGCCCTACTGTCTTCACATTTTAATTCTAATAAAAACTGTTTTAGATTTCCAGAACAAGAGCATTTTCTAATGTGGCTGTAAACTGCTAATCCACACGCGGAACGTGAAGGAAAACACCGAACAACCAACTAAAGCATTAGCTGAGCTACCTAATTAATAAACAACACAATAACCCAGTTTGAAAAGTAACTATAATGGATTAAGAGTGATTTATGTAATTAGAAAAGAGAGCACATTTTATCTGCTGATCAAAACTACATCCGAACGTTGTGATGGTGGCAGCTTGTAAGGATCAAGTATCAGTTGAACATGTCCGTCATGCAGCTTCAATCAAGCGTGTTAGCTCCGTAACCCAACATGCTAAAGTCATGCCACAGTCGCCATATTGATGGATCAGAATAACCATTAGGTGCAACAAATGCTAGAAGTGTTAAACTCCAAGCAACTTCCTCAGGTATCAAACTTTAACAAGCTCATGGGCTTTGATTTTATTTCAGAGTTCAGACTTCTTTCATTTGGATACGCGTTGTTCCTGGCGGTTGCACCTGCACGGCCCTGAACACCCACCTGTTGGTGCTCTTCTTCGTGCTCTCGATGTCCAGCTTGCGGAAAAGGAAGCCCTCGTGGTGTGCTGTGTGTGTTGGAGGTTGGGGGACGGCTGGGCTGCTCTGAGCTGGCGCAGACCTGGACCTCCTCGTGGTCTCTCCTGGCTCTTTGGGACGAGGGCGGCGGCGCGGTTTGGGTCGGTCCCGCGCTCGAGGCCTGTCGGGACGGGAAGACTTCTCTGGTAGCCCGTTGGGCAGGCGGGGCACCTCACCGCGGGCCTGAGGACAGAGAGGACCACTTCACCAGTTCATCGAACTTTGTTACTTCTCTCTACACAAACAGTAAATGCTAATCAACGGAGTCCATTTTTATTTATTCACAGACTGATACAGTCTCAGGACCTCCCGTCTGTCAGACGTGTCTCTCAGTAAAAAACTGATCCATCTGAAAATGTTAAAAGTAAAATTAAAAACTGACTGAAGAAAAACCAAAGTTGCCATCATTGATCATTGTGTAGGCAATTAGATGTAAATGTATTAGGTTTTGCGATTTGTAGATAATGTAATACACATATGGACATTTTTAGATGTTTTAATTTCTTAGTCACAGTAATTCTAATATTGTAATTTAGATTTTATAATGCTGATATGTTGTATTATTTGTGTTTTATGTAAGTCTATTTACAGTATATTAATAATTTGCTATGATAATTATTGCCTTGTATTAGTGGGTAGAAAAGGTGAGTAAGAGTTTCTGTAATTCATTTTTCACAATTACATTCATGCAATATACATGCACATAAACAAATGTAAATATCACAAAAACTTTTTTTTTACACAATCACTTCATTATACAAAATGAAATATTTCAGCCTTTATTTCTTGTAGTTTTGTTGATTATAACTTAAAATAGTGAAAAACAAAAAGAAACTGAGAATATTCCACAGCCAGATGTTGGCACCTGTGTCAGTGTGGGTCGGTCCTGCTGGAAAATGAAACGATCTCCATACAGCTCGTCAGCAGAAGGAAGCATAAAGTCTCTAAAACGTCCTGCTAGATGCTGCGTGGACTGGACTTTAGAAAACCCAGTGGACCAGCACCAGCAGAGGACATGGACCCAAACCATCCCTGACTGTGGAAACTTCACCCTGGACTTCAACAACGTGGATTCTGGACCTCCACTTTTCCTCCAGACTCTGGGACCTTGATTTAAAAATCTTTCATGTGAAAAGAGAATGCTGGACCACAGAGACAGTCCAGTTCTTTGTGTCCTCAGCAGGTAAGACACTTCTGATGTTGTCTCTGGTTCAGGAGTGGCTGGACTTGAGGAAGGAGACATTTGTAGCTCACGTCCAGGAGTTCATCAGCTGATCAGGCTGTGACACCAGGAGTTTGTAATATTAAAACTCTTCACAATATTCTCATTTTATTTTGGTTTTTCATTATCTGTAAGTTATAATTGGCTTTGTGGGTGCTGTGTTCCTTGACCTGAAACGTGCTTGATACCATCAACCACAACATTCTTCTTGCTAAACTAGCTCATTTTAATTTGTCTAATAGTGCCCTCTGCTGGATGAAATCATATCCGTCTGATAGAAAACAAGCAGTACAAATAGAAAACTCACAATCTACCTTTCTTACCTGCTCAGCTGGAGTCCCACAAGGCTCAATACTGGGACCAATCTTATTTAGCCTATATGTTAATGATTTACCAAATGTTTGCAAAACTGTAAAAATGCAATTATATGCAGATGATACTGTACTGTATGTTCATGGAAAAACAAAAAAATGAAGCTGCTGCTGTGCTTGCTAGCGCTATGTTGCCGGTGTCTCACTGGCTCCAGGACTCGTCTACATCTCAACATTAAAAAAACAGTCTGTATGTTTGTCTCTCGGCTGCCAGCAGATAATGAGCAACCATCTGTGTTAGTCAATGGCGAGACATTAGATGTGGTTGAACAATTTAAATACCTTGGAGTCATTTTTGATTCCAATCTAAATCTCAAGCAGCATGTAAAAAGAATTTCACATATAATTAAACTTAATCTGGCAAACTTCAAAAATATAAGACCTTCTCTGACAACAGAATCAGCAAAGGCTTACATGCAGGCCATGATTCAGCCATATAGCCTATTGTTATACTACATGGTCTCACACTTCAGAGGTCATCATGAAGCCCCTAAAGTCTCTTTTTAAGAAAACACTGAAATTTTTTGACAAAAAGCTTCCACAGTATTATTGTAACATAAATATCATAAATAAGTACAACATTTTGGATTTTGATAGCTATCAGATTTTTATGGATGCTTGCCTGATTTTTAAAGTTTTAAATGGACTTGCTCCTCCTCCTTTAATGTATTTTATAAGTAAAAAAACAAGCACAGTAAACACAAGAGCACTGACAAGAGGAGGTTGTGATGTACAGCGGCGCAGGACTAAATTTGGCCAAATGGTGGTGAAGCACACTGCCAGTTTTCATCAGGAACTGTGGCACCTACTCCAGCTTTAAAAACTCTTTGAAACTTTGGCTGAAAACTAACCAGAAGTGCACTCATGTGTAGATTACTTTGTCTCTTTTCTTATGGTATTATATCTTTATTGTAATCTCATGTTGTGTTATGTTCTATATAGGTGATGTTTGTATTATTCTCTGCTCTTTTGTTTTGTGGGATGTTTCTTGTTCTTACCTGCCTTAGCACAACGGATGAAAATTAGCTACTGTGCTAACTCCGGCATATTTACATTGATGCTTACTGCTGACATGTTGATTAATATGCATTGTCCTAATTTAAATAAATAAATAAATAAATAAATAAAATTACAACAAATAAAGGCTGAAATTTTTCACTCTGTGTAATTAATCTATGTTTTTTTTTTTACCTTTATTTTACCAGGAAGAAATCCACTGAGGTTATTAATCTATTTTACAAGGATGTAATAAATGAGTTTCACTTTCTGAAGTGACTGACAGAAAATATTGAACTTTTTCACCGTGTTGTAATTTTGTTTAGACGCGCCTGTATATGTTGGATTTTTACAGAGTTCCAACACACCTTACAAAAAGATCTGAAGCTCTCGACCTTGACCTCTCTAAGTGGCTTTAAGAATCTGTTGGATTCCTGGCAAGGACCAATGCAGACATGTTCCTGTTTTTAGTTTTCTACATTCGCCTTATAATCCAGCTGTTTTTGTTACTTTTTTGCCATCTTATTTGTAAAAAAAAACAAAACAAAAAAAACAATCTGTTTGCCTTTTTATAACTGTCTATTGCTGTTGTCCATTGTTGTCATCATTCTTTGATGAAATCAGGTCTCTCTTGTAAATGAGTCCTCGAGGCTCAGTGGGATTAAACTGTCTAAATAAAGGTTGAATGAAAAAAGTCCAGACCTGTGCTGCTTCTCTTTCCTGCAGCTGCTCTACAATCTCTGCCATGGTGGATCTCTTCTCTCTGTAAAAGGATTAATAGATTATAAGCCAACTGTAATGCTCAACTTAAAACAACCCTTCAAAGCTAGTCAGTCTCACCCTCCAGCAGAGCGCCGGTCTGACTGGTCTCTGCCGATGTCGTTCTCGCTGGATTCCCGTCTCTCCATCCGGTTCCTGTCCCTCTCTCTCCTCCGGCCATCATGACTCCCCTGGCCCTCCTGCTCGCTGGACGTTTGCCTCTCTAACGTCCGTCTCTCCCTCCTCTCTGCCTGTTCTCGCCACACCTCCTGAGGTAGCTCATCCCTGCGTGCCTGGATCAGCTGCTCGCTCGACAGCTGCCGTTCTATCCTGTGGTCACGGTGATACGTCTGGACTTGAGGCTCGGCTTGGCCGAAGGCGTCAGGCCTGGATCCCCGCGGCCCCCTGGTGGGCTCGCTGTGCAGACGCTCTCGGCCCGGCTCCTGCAGCACCACCTCAGCCATCACCGCCACCTCTGCTCTCTCTGTTCCCATCTCCCTGATCTTTGGCTCTCTCTCCCGTCCCCTCTCTCTCACTTTCTCCAGTCGGCTGGCCACAATCAGCGGCGTCACCGCATCATCCAGGTGTTTGATTTTGGGTTGCCGAAGATACGAGGAGGATTTCACCTCCAGTTCCCTGCCTGCCTGCCCTGGAGGCTGCAGGTGACTCATCACCTTTGTAACCTGATCTCTCACTGTGCTGGCACTTTCTCTCATCTGGTTGGCTGAGACTAACATGGCTGCCGTGGCAACAGACGCAATTGATGAAGGAGCTGGCTGTCCATAACTTGTTTTTACACCCACTACACCACCATGCTGGGCCTTCAGGGTGTGGTGGTAGCTGGAGCCGTTCATCACGGGGGTGTAGTTGGCGACTGTTGACCCCAGTCGCCGAGCCGCAGATGATGGAGAGGGTGTCGGGGTGAAAGGCGACGGAGACGGAGGAGAGCTGGCTTCATTCTGCTCATAGATGGTTTGTCTCAGGATGGGGGAGACAGGGAGGCGCGGGGGGTTTGTTGGACTTCCCGCAGCATCTTGGGGGTCCAGGAAGACTTTACGACCCAACAGAGGGGTTGGGGGTAGCTTACTTTGCTCCGCTTTCAGCTTTTCCACCTGCAAAAAGAAACAGAACCAGCTTCAAAATCATCTTCAGCAAGAGTGAACAATACAGAATTTCTTCCAGTCTTTTTAACTCAGCGCTTTACCTCGCTGATGGTATGGGGGTGCATTAGTACCTTTAGCACAATTAGCTTACAGATCTGTAAAGGCACCATCAATGCAGAAATGTATACACAGATTTTATAGAACAACATGTGCTCCCAACTAGACAACAGCATTTTCAGTGGCATATTTCACAAGACAATAATAAACTGCACAGAGCATCAGGGTGCGGGTGATGACCTATCCTGCCTGCTGTCCAGACGTCACCAACTGAAAACATTTGGCACAACGTGAAACAAAAAACCCATTAGTGACAACCCAGGACTGCTGTTACTGTTCCTAATGTTTGTTGTGTTGACTCTTAAAGGGAGAAACGAGTGGTGATAAGATAGTACCGTGGTGAGCCGGCGCAGTGAGCTGAATCGCTCCTCCCAGGTGGCGGCAGCTTTGCGGAAGGCTTCGTGTCGACGGATGAGCTGCTCTACCTCGTCTACGCTCCCTCCCAGCTCCTTGCTGTTGATCAGCGGCTCCTGAGCGGTCAGCCAGGCCTCCGCCACCATCGCCTCCTGGGCAAACTGATGAACCTCCAGCACTAAGGGTAGAACATGGAAATATGGTGAAGTTCTCCATTTTGTTAACTTGTTCCCCTCTCGAAAAAGATAAATTTCAGGAATGTGAGTGCTCACTGTGCTGCAGGAACTCCCAGTGCTGGTCCCATTTCTCAGACAGCTCTTGTTGCTTCGCGATCACCTTTTCCAGTTTCTCCTTGATCTGAAATTCAGAACCACCAACATATAGATTAGAAAACTCCAGGAATAAAAGTTTTCTGTCTAGTCTTTAATGCAAAACTGAGACAGACCATAAAATGTAAAAAAAATACTTCAAAATGATTTAAGTGGTTAAAAAGACATATTGCATTCCTGAAATGTAGTGATCCGGTTTAAACTACCTTAAACTTGAACTAGAATTCATATTTTTGTTTGTTTATGTAGATGGCACTGCATTTTTGCCACAATTTGAAACATGTTTTCCATCTGATAATGATTGACAGCCGACAGTTATAAGTGTCAGTTGAACTAAAATATTGTTTCTATAATATGAGCCAAAAAAAAATAAAAATAAAATTTAAGACCCACATTAGCTGCAAGAGGCCAAATTTGAGTTTGTCTGATGCAAATGTTAAATTTTTAAGCATTATCAGGCAGAACACATGGCAGGTTGATAATATTATGCATTTGTTGTTATTTATGGGCTCATAAATATGTGGCTCAGTGTGTACAGCTTTTGCCCAGCAAGAAAGTCGCTGGATCAAATCCCATCCAGGGACTTTTCTGGGTGGAGTTTGTAGGTTCTCTCCGTGCTGCATGGGTTTTCTTCAGATACTCCGGTTTCCTCCCACTGACCAAAAACCTGCATTTTTCTTTTTTTTCCCCCCTTTATTTATCCAGGTATTCTCATTGAGTCACAAGAACTCATTTTCAAGAGAGACCTGTTTAGGGAGCAGATGGTGGGGGGATAAGGGCCTTGCTCAAGAGCCTGGAGTGGGGCAAATGAGGGTGGAGGCAGGTGTGGGTGTTTCACCTTTTCCACCCACATTTTGACGTTGACGGTACTGGGAGTTGAACCTGTGACTTTCCGATCACAGGCCCATATTCTCTAACCTCTGCGCCACCACTCCCACACCACATGTTAGGCTGATTGGTAACTCTAAATTGTTCCTAGGTGAGAGTGAGAGAGTGAATGGTTGTTTGTCTCTTTTGTCTCTATGCGTCCCTGTGATGGACTGGAGACCTGTCCAGGGTGTCCCCCGCCTCTCACAGTGACTGTTGGATATGGGCATCAGTGACCCCCACAACTCAAAAAAGAAGAAGTGGGTAAAGATAATGGATGGATTGATGAATGTATGGATGATGATGGGATGGATAGAAAGATGGATGGATGAATGGATGGATGCTATCTATGTCGTCATGTCACCTCCTCAGCTGCAGGGTTTCTAGCAGCCAGCAGTGTTTTTCCCATCTCTATACACTCCAGCGTGCTCTGGCTGCGTGCGTCCACTTCACTCTTCAGGCTCTGGTGATAGTTCATCAGCACCTCTACTGAGGACACGTCCCTGCAGGAACCACAGAGCACACAGGAAGTCAGACCTTCACATACAAGCGCCCACATCTGCTGAGCACAACGGACATTTTATTAACCCATTCAAAAGCAGGACGGTTGCTCGGTTCTGTAATACCTGGGCTTTTCTCCTGTGCCGATCTGACAGATGATGGAGTCCATCCACATGATCTGATCTCGGACCATGCTGAAGAATCGCAGCTTGTCCGTCTCGGTGGTGATCTGCAGTCGACACTCTTCGCAGTAAGTCAGCAGCTCCTTCCAGCACTGCATCACTTCGTGCTCCCGACACGCGATGGCTTCGGCTTTCTCTCCCGCGTACACCGTCCTCAGCTGGGCTGCGCTCTCCTGCAGTTGACGCACCTGACGGAGAAGGAAAGCAGGCTTCAGAAAAAAGCTGAACCCAACGAGGGAAAAGCGGCAGTTCGTTTTGGAACTGATGCTCAAAAAAGCACCTGCTGTGCTCAATCAGGGTGTAATGACACCAGAGCTGCACGGAGCAGCTGTGGTTCTGCACCACTGTGCCACTTTTTCTGTATCCCACGTGCACGAAGCAGATTTGATAAAGCTTCAAAAAAGTAAGGAGGTAGTTTTGCCAGAAAAAAAAAAAAAAAAAAACAGACAAGATTTTACTAAAGTCACAATTTAACTAACCTATGAACTCTGTTCAGATCACTTGGGTAGATTAGAAAACAATTAGACTAGAGCAGAGGTTCTCAAACTGGGGTCCCAGGACCCCCAGGGGTCAGCGAGCTGTAGCTCAGAGGACCACAGAACAAATGACAAAATATTATTAGTTATGTCATATTTCAAAATGTCCATGAACGGGGACCAATGCAACAGGAAAACAAATATACTTAACAAAACAAACAAACAAAAACGACCCTCGTCATTTAGGGGTTGAAACGGCAGTAAATTATTTTTAATCAGCACCAAAGTTCATGCTCAATAATCCAGGTAAAAATCCAACAATGTTCAGTCAGGCCATCTGGACGGTTTCTTCTTTGCTGAGCTGTTTCATCCTTCATCCAAAGGACTTCATCCATCTGAGGAGCCAACAAACAAACCGATTCCCACTAACAGAATACTCCATAATGGTGACCCTTAGCACCAGCAAACTGTTTTTTTTTCTCCATTATGGAGTATGATGTTTGTGGGAATCAGTTTGTTTGGTGGCTCCTCAGACTTAAGAAGTCCTATGGATGAAGGACGAAATGTCTGCAAAAAAAGAAACCGTCCAGATGACCTGACTGAACATTGTTGTTTTTTTAATTAGCATGAGTTTTATGAGGGCTTCTCTGGAAATGCTTTTATTTTCCAGACCCAAAACTTTTGAGAACCCCTGGATTAGAGAATTAACTGATCACCACTGCCTCATGTGCATATAGAAATTAAAACATCTGGCACCTTTATACGTGAATAAATACTAAATTAAACACCTAGACATCCCTCAATGAATGCATATCACCCACCACCATTCCAGTGTGAGTTTAAGACCAGAAATGAGATATTAGTCAGACTTAGAAAAGAACGTTTGGTGAGATGTTACGCTCAGTAAATGTGCTGTGGATGACTCTCAGCTACTACCACATGAAATTTGAGTAAAATATCTGTACATTAGGCTGAGTTACAGTATTTTTGGTGATGTGGGAGCCATCTTGAATTAACTTCAGATATGAGTCAGTTGTAGATTTGCATAAAATGATTATTTTTTGTGGTTATCAATAAACTCAGGTCAAGTGATTCATGAGATATTTTCCTAACAGACAGGCCCGCAAACCCACATATTATCTGCCGTCACCTCTCGGCAACAAGAGATAAATATTAGTTACTGGTAGTTTTACAGAAGAATATATTTATTTATTTATAAAATGTATTCATTTTTTAAAAACAAAACAAAACAATTCCATAAACAATAAGAAATATAATCAAAAATAAAATGAAAGGCAGCAGAAAGAAGAAAAAATCTTATTATACCTGCCCCTTTTTTCAAACAATTAATTCAAACAATAATACATCAATAAATAAAAAGAGCAGCTCAGCAAGAACAGCAATTAGGCACAACTTCTTTACATTAAAGCTGCAGCGGGTAACGTTTACATGTTTGTTTGTGTTTGCGTTGCTCTACCTGCGTGACCAGCAGCTGGATGTCCTGCTCGAAGCTGTGAAGGAGTCTCTGCAGGGTGCTGGTGTTGGAGGTGCTGCCCTGCCGAGCCCGAACCTCTGGTAGACGTCGATGTTTGTCCTCAATCTGAGCCAAAACCTGTAAACCAACAAAGAGGAGCGCATCCATGTTAGTTTCATCCACCAAGGACGACAATTAAAACAAATATTTTCATAAAGTGTTTTTAAGAAGAGCTGTAACTGACCACAGGAGCTTTGCCTTTTACCTCTTTGCAGTCAGAGAAGAACTTGTGCAGCTGATGTGACGCTGCAAGCATCTGAGCTCTGGTCTCCATGAGCTCCAGCAGGTCGGCCCAGGACTCGTTCACCCCGTCCTTCCATTCAGCTATGGTCGCCGCCTCGGCGTGGCCGTAGTCTATGAGCTCATCCACCATCTGGTTGACAACCGTCACACGTTCCTGCCCAACATTTCCAGTCTCCGATGCAAACTCTGTAAACTTCTCCTGCAGGACCTGGAGGCGCAGCAGGAAGTGAGGTTACTGTTGTCCTTTGTTTTATCATTTTATTTATTTCTGTTATAATACTCGGTACGTTTCCTGTCTATGGCATTAAAGTAAGTCAAATAAAAACTAAACTAAAAGTGGCATTTCTTGAAGGAATGCATATCTATGCTGCCTTGCATGCCAAAGTTTTAAACGAAAATCTCAGATGATTTTTGAGTATGTGTTGGAATGACTCTCGGCTACTACCACACACAATTTTAGCTCAATATCTATAAAAAATATACAATTATAACAACTTGGGTGTTTCCTAAGATGGTAAATGTACATCCATTTAACGGTTGCTTTCTGAGAGTTTCATCAAAATACATTCTGTGACTAATTAGATATTTTGCTAACAAACCAACAAATTCACACACGGAAAGACATTACAATTACATGTTCACCCACTTTTACTGGTGGCCGACAAATATACACACAGCTCCATGAGGTATAAGTGTGCAATGACTTGGTTACTTTACATCATATAATGTTAATTAAAGTAGAAATAAATAAATAAATCATGCATTTATTCCAAAATAAATGTTAAAGCTGAACTTCAGTTGATTGAAACGGCATTTAAATATTTTTTTATTGGGTTTTACACAGTCATATTTTTAGATGTTTTTAAAGACTTAACCAAAAAACATTTAGTTTAGATTACTCCAAATTTGAAACTTAAGCTTTTAAATTTTGACTATATTTGTATCCACAGTTCTTCCTCTATTAGTACAGTTGACACATAAAAACATTTTATTTTTGCCTTCTTCTACTCATCTCGTCTCCCACAGTGACAGGACTTAGTTTTCTTTCAGATCATGCCAAAATGGAGTGTCTTCACCCAAACTCAATTTCTTCCCATTAAATTAAGCTTTAAATGTTTTCTTCAAAGTTGAAAGTTAAGTTTGAAATGGTTACCTGTCAGATTATTTAGATAATAAAGTGCAGATTTAAAAAATAAACACACAACTGTTTCTTTGAAGCTCAAATATTAATTCCTCTTTCCTTCTCTGTTGCCATGGTGATTCCCACCTCTGCCTCTAAAAAGGCGGGAATCACCATAACAACCAGTGACTCAGCAGACAAATCCTGAATACCGTCATTATCTCTGATTACATTTGATCAAATAAAGTAGAATAAAGTGAGAGAAAGAGTTCAGAGTTTAGCCTCAGGAGCAAACAGAAATAAGAACCACCGTAGCTTGGATATTCAAAAAACAATCTCTTCAAATGTACAGGAAGTTACTCATTAATATGCACTATCAAAATAAAGTTCATGAACAATCTTTCAAATCAAAGTCTATACAAGCTTAGAGGGTGATTCTGTCATGGCTTAAATTAGTTCAAAAAGCATGCTCCAAACAAGCCAAGGTGTCACTTCAATAAGTAAAAACCTGTTCCTCATCCACAGAAACCATCTGTGAACAAACTTACAGTGACATGCTCAAAGTCTTGACCCAGTTCAGGTGAGCTGGCGACCACTTCCCTCTGAGCGATCCACTGCTCCAGCTCGTCCACCTCCCTGTTGAGCTGATAAAGCCAGTACTGCTGCTCCAGACGACTCTTCCTCTCCTCCACCAGGTCCTTCAGGGACACGTACAGACGGTCTATCTGCGACTGACGTTTGCTGATCTGTTCGCTGCGGAGCAGACAACAAAAACAGGTGAAACAAAAGAAGAGTTTGCATTTTTAACGGGTACAACCTCTACCAATAACATCAACTGACAACAAATATTTAAAGGCATCTGGCAACATCAGAATTTCAGTTTGACACAAATTTTTTGCATTTTATGTAAAAATACAGCATGATTGCCGAGTGCTGAATGACCTGCTGAAATTTGTTACAGAACTAAAATGAGTCAAACAGTGGCTGAACACTAAAAAGCAGATCAACCGCAAAAAGCATAAACTGACAATAACAGTATCTAGAAGCTAAAACAAGCACAAGCAAAGCATCTAAAACTGGCAAAAACTATCTGAAAATTAGCAAAAAGTTTAAACCAATAAAAAAGTAGCTAAAAGCTAAAACATGCAAAACTGACAGAACAGTAACAAAATCTAAAACCAACAACAGGCTCTCTATAGCCTGTACCAGTTAAAAATCGGGCTGCAGCATTTTGGACCAGTTGTAGACGAGCAATGGAGGACTGACTGATTCCAAACAGAAGTGAATTGCAGTAATCAAGCCTAGATGTTATGAAGGCGTGGATCACTGTCTCAAGGTTCTTTTTGGAGAGTATAGGCTTCAGCTTAGACAGCCGTCTCAGCTGAAAAAAACAGGATTTGACCATCATGTTTACGTGACTGTTGAGTTTTAAGGACGGGTCCATTATCACCCCCAGATTAGTGACCTTTTGTTTCTCTAACGGGGCTAGAGAGAAAAGGTCATTGTCATGGTTCATGAGTGAGCCACTGGGATGGAACAGCATGACTTCAGACTTCTTCTCATTGAAGCTTAAGAAGTTTAAAGCCATCCAGTCCCGGATGTCAGCCAGGCAGTCAAGAAGAGACTGAATAGAGCGTGTGCCTCTTTGCCTCAGGGGGAAGTAAATTTGGCAATCATCGGCGTAGAAATGAAAGGGTATGTTGTGTTTGCGGAAAATAGCACCTAGTGGCAGCAGGTGTAAAGAAAAGAGAAGGGGACCGAGGTTGGACCCCTGCGGTACCCCCCACTGGAGCGCTGTCGATGCCGAACTAAAATCTTTGATATTGACACAGAAGGTTCTGTCAGAGAGGTAGGACCCAAACCATTTAAGGGCTGACCCTGTGATGCCCACCCACTGCTCAAGTCTAGAAATGAGGATCTTGTGGTTGATGGTGTCAAAAGCAGATGTGAGGTCCAATAGGACAAGCAGCACAGAATCACCTGCGTCTGTGGATATGAAAATGTCATTAAAAACCTTCAGTAGAGCAGTTTCAGTGGAAGTGTAGAAGTGTAGTTTAGCAAAAATGTAGCTCAAAGCTAACATTAGCAAAATCATAGTTAAAAATAAACTTAATTTGGCTACTACCTTCTGCAGGGGTCCTCAGTGTGAGCGAACTTCCATGAAACATTTTGTAATTGTTTTACACCAGAATCCCGTCCTGACACAACCTGGGCTTAATCACAAGGCTACGGCACTTAACCACTGAGCTACCGCAGCACCCCAATAGCTATAAACTAAAATAAGCTAAATATCTAAAGGCTAAATGGAGCATAAAAGACAAACATAGAGTGAAACAGATTTTGGAGATGATATTCACCTGTCCGGGTGTCCCATCTCCAGCAGCTGTCGACACTGTTGTGACAGCAGGCCGACGGTCTCGGCGTAGTCCTCGATGGTCTGCTCCAGGAGCAAATGTTTCTTCAGCAGCTGCAGGGTGCTCGGTTCGTCCTACAGGAGCAGAACGACACAAACAGGAGGGTTTCAGTGTAAATGCGAGAAGTTTCCAACAAATAGTTAATAGTTTTAATAGTACATTTCAACCACCTTCCCCTTCTCCTCATTCATCATGTGCAGCTCCTGCTCGCTCAGCCAGGCCTCCACTTCGGCTGTGTCGAAGTAGTACTGCTGGGCCTGGTACATGGCATCCAGAATCAGCTGCCTCCGCTCCGTCTCGGCCCACAGCAGATCCCACAGCTGTGCCAGCTGGTCGTGCCCGGCCCTGATGCAGTCGGCCTCAGGGCTGCGTATGGAGGCGATGATCCCCGCCCTCTCCAGGACTTCGTCGATTCTGCTCCTGTGGCCCTCAAGCTCCCTCTGAAGCATCTACGTTTGAAGACAAAGCAATTATAGAGTCCACATCTGTGGCATTTATTATTCTGCAGTTCGAGTAATAACCTGTTCTGATGTTCTCACCTGGTTCTTCTTCATGAGCTGCTGGACGGCCTGCAGCGTGGAACCATGCTCCTGAGACATGACCAGCGGGATACGCTCCTGAATCCACAGCTATAAACACAGAAATGAACACTTGTGTTGGACATGTTGTGCATTCAGAGATTCTTCACATCTTAGTTGGATCAAGGCTTCCCACTGGATAATTTCTCTTTTTCAGACTAGTCTCTGTAATCCCTAAAGATGATTTAGATGAGCATGCCCATCCCAGAAGATCAGCAGCTTCTGAAAATACTCAGACCTGCACATGTGGCACCAACGAACATGTTCAAAGTCACTGATTTTTCTTTCTTCCCGCTCTGACGCTTGATTTGAACTTCAGCAAGTTGTCTACATGCCTAAATGGACTGAGTCGCTGCCATGTGATTGGCTGATTAGCTGTTTGTGTTAACAAGCAGTTGACCGGTGAGTGTATGTTAGGTAAGGCTGTCCTGATACTAGTTTCTGTCAGACCAAGTACAAGAACTTATTAATTAACTTATTAATTAATTAATTTTATTAAGAACACAGCAAGCCGTATGCAGCCTTAACAGCACCTGTGTTTATCTTAAAATATCTTGAAAGTATGGATTTTTTTTTTTCATTGGTTATTTGCAAAGTAGAAAAGGAAATGACATCACCAAGCATTCACGTGGTATCAGTCCTAAGTATCGGGGTGTTTTTAGGAGTAAAAGTATAAGTACTTGAGGATGGTTTTGGGCTTGATACCCACCAATAATTTTAGGCGCAAACTTGTTCTGCTGAAATATGTGTTTAATTAATGGAAAAAATAACTTTTTTTTCCTCAGACACTAAACTCTTAACATAAGGGAAGTATTGTTATTCTTATTTATACTATTGTTCTTATTAATTTAGCCGTTGTTTGTTGTAGTTTCTTGACTCAAAGGCCGACCCTGACAAAAACTGCTCATAAAATTCTGGCCCCTGAGCGACTGAGTGTTGTTTGTCTTCAAATCATTTAGAAACCGAGACCCTGCAGACGTTTTAGGCCTTGAAGTTCACTTTGTGCACGTTATCTTCCATTTATGTCAGTTGACCACCACAAAACTGTAAACTTTGTGTACAGTTAACTTAATTGTAAACATATGAATCAACGTATGATTCAACAAGCCTGCAATATGACAGATTACTGTATTTTTCAGACTATAAGGCGCACTTAAAATCCTTTAATTTTCTCAAAAATTGACAGCGAGATTTATAATCCGGTGCGTTTTATGTATTAATTCTGGTTGTGATTACTGAACTCAAACCGATTTTATGTGGTACAACTGAAAAATGTTGATGAGTTGAATAAAGTTTGATTTATCTGACTGTTTTGTTTTGCTTAATGCATCTTATAATCTGGTGCGCCTCACGTATGAAAACAGACCCGTTCATTGATATTGCGCCTTATAGTCCGAGAAATACGGGACTGCACTCAGAAGACTTCCTGTGAGTCTGTTTGTGTCTCCGACTCACAATCTCGTCCTCCAGGTCTCGCCCGACTTGATGGACATCCTTAGACGCCAGAAGAATGCGTCGCCTCTCTTTCAAAGGCTCGATCAAACGTGCCATCCTCGTCTCCACGGCAACCTGTCGCTCAGCGACCGTCTCCTTGACCTGAGTCTGCTGTGGGACGGAGGCTGCCTGCCCCTGGAGCTGCCCCACCTCCTTATACCACTCCTCCATCTGAGTTTCCATGGTCTGACGGGGAGGAAGAGGGAAAGGTATTGAAACATAAAAGAAGGGAGTCGATTCAGCATGAATATAAATAATATGTCCAGGGGAGAGAGGACAAAAGTCAGATGATGAAAATAATAAAACAGAAAAGTACTTTGAAACAGTGACAAGTTTGTAAACTTTTAAAGTTTTTTTAATTTTTTTACTTGAAGTACCCATGGCTTTTAAACTTGAAAGCAAAAATGACATGCTTTTAACTTACAATAAATATGTGATCAGATATTGTGTGAAACTCTTTTCTTTGGTAATGGAACATTTCAGTAAAACAAACCTAAACTCCAGTGACAGAAAGCTCACAGCAGAAAAAAATCTTTTTTTTTTTTTAAATAAAAAGGAGACAAATGATGAAACAAACACCTGAAAACAGCATGAGGTGTAGTGAAGGCTTCTGTACCCCATGCCAGGATGGATGCTGGGTAGTTTGGGGTTCGTGCTAAATGCAGCCAGTTAAAGAAGCTGTAAGCAGCTAGAGAGTGAGAGATGTCTGGTGAAAAGATGAGGTAAAGAATGAATAAAGCCCAGGTGCAACAGTCGGACTCCTCCGAACCATCAGAGGGTTGAGGAGTTTCATCCCAACATCAGAATGTGTAATTAAACAAGTAACAACAGGTTAATGGTCAAAAGTCCTCTGTAGCGCCTCTCACATGTGGAGCACCTCAGGGATTTGTACTTGGCCCCCTTCTGTTTTCCCTTTATTTACTACCTCTGGGATATATTCTCCAGAAACATGGTATTTCTTTTCATTTTTACGCCGATGACAGCCAAATCTATGTTTCTTTGAAACAAGATAAACAGTACTCCTTGAACCAACTCCTGGAATGTATGGCGGAAGTCAGAGCATGGATGTCACAGAACTTTTTACACTTTAATGAGAAAAAGACTGAGGTCTTGTTGTTTAAGCCCAGTGATGATTCTAAAGTCCATGTTGATCTGGGTCCTTTAACCAAACATCTGACTGAGACAGCAACCAACCTGGGTGTGAGGTTGGACAATGATTTTAAACTGGATGCTCAGATTAAATCTGTGGTCAAGTCCAGCTTTTATCACCTGAGACAACTGGCCAAGGTGAAACCATTCCTGTCACATCATTTTGAGATTTTAATCCATGCTTTCATCACAACTCGTCTGGACTATTGCAATTCACTTTATGTGGGTCTGAGCCAGTCATTAATGACTCGACTTCAGCTGGTTCAGAATGCTGCTGCTCATCTTTTAACTGGCACCAGAAAACGAGAGCACATCACCCCTGGCTTAAGATCGCTACAATGGCTCCCAGTTCGTTTCCGGATTAATTTTAAGGTTCTTTTGTTTGTATTCAAATGTCTTCATGGTCTTGCCCCACAGTATCTGTCCGACCTTCTACGGCCGTACATTCCCTCACGCTCTCTTAGGTCAGCTGATCAGCTGCTGTTGGACGTCCCAAAGTCCAACAGGAGGCTGAGAGGTGACCGAGCGTTCTCAGTCGCTGCCCCTAAACTGTGGAACGAGCTGCCTCTGCACGTCAGACAAGCTGACTCACTTCCTGTTTTTAAATCTGCTCTGAAGACTCGTTTTTTCTCTTTGGCTTTTAACGCAGCTTGAAATGTTGTTTTTACTGTTTTATGTTATTTGTTTTATTGTTGTTACTGTTTGCTGTTTTATGATTTGGTATTTCTTTACTTTTATGGCATTTGTTGAGTTCGTAGTTTTTATGCTTGTATGTGTTAGTGTACAGCACTTTGGCCAACGGTGTTGTCTTAAAGTGCTTTATAAATAAAGTTGTATTGTATTGTATTGTAAAAACAGAAAACGAGAGCCTCTTTACTACTGCAACGCTAGATACAAGAGATTTTTAAACTTGATCATATGACTTGACGTCGTCTACTAAAGGTGAGTTCCAGGTGCACGTTAAGATATTGCGAAATAATCCTGTTTTCTTTGTGCTCCTTGCAGAAGAAAATCTGTTCCCTGTGTTCTTCAAGTTTGAGGCTTACCTTGGACCTTCATCCTTGACCTCTCTAAGTGGCTTTAAGAATCTGATGGACTCCTGGCAAGGACCAATGCAGACATGCTCCTGTTTTTAGTTTTCTACATTCGCCTTATACTCTAGCTGTTTTTGCTACTTTTTTTGCCATCTTATTTTAATTTGTAAAAACACAAAAAAAAAATCTGTATGCCTCTTTTATAATTGTCTATTGTTGTTGCTGTTGTCCTTTATTCTTTGTTGAAATCAGGTCTCTCTTGTAAATGAGTCCTTGAATGCTGCTGCTGGTCATTTTTAACACGATGTTTTTGTCCTGCATTAACATAACGAGGCCAAATGGAAACATAAACATCCCATGTACTCAGGAGAAAATCTGAGCTGAACTTAAAATAAAACACAAACTTACATGTTTGAGGGGAATAAAAATATGATGTAAGAACATATTTTTAGTTAATTGCCGCACTCAAAAAGGCCTAAAATAACAAAAAAAAACTAAAGAAAGAGGCGAAACAGCAGCTGATGCTAAAGTCTCCCTTAAAATAAATCGACGTACGAACTGTAGTCCATAAAATAAAATGTGCTCTCAATTTCTTTCCAGTAAACTTAATTATTCCTTATTTGATAAAAATATCCAGCCTACTTATAAGAGAGGAAGAAACTAGATTTCTTGGATGAGAGCTCAGAGAATGTTTAAACCCTTAAACAAAGAGAATATTTAACCGGCGTGTTTCTGGGTCAACAAGGGAAAGTCTACGTACTTGTAGTTTCTTGAGCTGTTTGTTGACAGTGGTGAGGTCTTGTCCCTGGTCTACGTAGGCCAGCTGATCCTCCAGCTGGCCCAGTCTCTGGTCCAGGCTCTCGTAACTCTGAACCAGCAGGTCCGCCTTGTTGGCCTCGAAAAGCTGGCGGGCTTTGGCCTGAGTGGTGCTCTCCAGATCCTGCCAGCATTCTCTGATCTCCTCCAGCTTCTTCCGGACCACCGGGCTCAGTTCTGGCTTCTCCTCGATGAGCTGCTGACCCTCCTGTGGCGGGAGCACGAGAGAAAACGCACCGTTTCAATGGTGAGGCTCTGTGTATTGACTCAAAAAAAAAAAAAAATCTAAATGTTAGAAAATCTACAATATTAAAAATGTGAAGGATAGAGTCATTTCCAAACCATTTTTCTCAAATGGAAACCAACAGTTGTCAAACTTCCCAGAATTGGAAGCAGATTCACCCCGAAGGTCAGGCTGTGCCACGCTCAGAGAAAAGACAAAATAAAAGACTCCAGGCCTCAGGTTGAAGGTTAAAGGTCACGACAGGATGACTGAGCAAGTATTGCATGTTTCCATGTAACAAAAAGCAGTATTTACATCAAGATTAAACCAAACTAAATAAAGCTGCTGGGATTTGTCTGTTATTTTAATGTTCAATTAGAAAAACTAGTTTTAAATTAACTGGGTTAATTATCTTGGTACAAAAGTACAGTTACGTTTAAATCTTAAATGCAGATTTTCTGCCTTTTTTAAATTGAATATTAATGTCGTTGTCATGCTTACAAAGAATTTCAAAAAGTGCCATCCCATCCATGCATCACTGATAAAATAAAATAAAACCGTCTAAAATCAGCAAATAAAGCAACATTAAAAGATACAGAAATAACTAATAAATAAAGGTAAAAAAAACAAAAACATCAAGAAGAAGCGTCGTTAGCTCAGATTATGCTTTTAGCTCTGCTAAAATGAGTGACAGCGTAGCTTTTCTTTTCTTTTAAAAAACTTACAAATTACAAATTAAAACATTTAGATCAAACTAATTATAAGGAAAATATGATTGGCTGAGGCAACGCAAAACAGCAGAGTAATGTGCAGACGACACAGAGCTTGTTTAGGGAGGGGTGTGCACGTCTCTGTGTGTAAAGAGATTAAACCGCATCGACATGAAAGAGCCTCATAAATTTCCACCAACTCCCCTTCCCCCTTCTTTCTCTGAGCTTCTTACATTTTTGCCCTCTTTTGTTCATCCTCCCATTCTGAAGCCCCATAAAGCAAACCATTTCTTCCATTCCCCGCTCCGTTACTTTCTGTTGATTCTGCTACACGTCTGATCCACACTGGTCTGGTAGAGTCTGCGTGTGTTCATGTATGTTAGAAATAAAACAAAGAGCTGAGCTGAAGTGCTGCCAGGAGTTTCTTCACTTTGGCTTCTCGTCCATGGCCTCTGAGTCAGCATTCACACCGTGTTCTCCTCTTCACAGTTTCTTCCAAAAAGAAAAAAACAAAACAACTCCACATGATTGTAACTTTTATACTTTTTGAGCTATTTCACTTTATTTACAAAACAAAGTCCGGACAGAAATGCATGGGATCTCTTCACTTCCTTCAACAGCATCAACTAGACTTCAGCTGACTGGCTCTATTTCAAGCTTCTTATAATCCTTTTAGCTTTTAGCTATGGTTCAGCTACATAGTTAGCAACTGTTTAGCTGCATTTATCTTTTAGCAACACAGCATTTAGCAGTTTTTTTATTACATTTAGCTATAAGCAACTGAATTTTTATGTTTAATTTGTAGCAAGTGTTACACTACATTTAGCTTTTAGCTAGTTTTGCTACATTTAGTAAGCAACTTTTAACTTTCAGCAGTTTTGCAACATTTAGCAACTGATTCACAACATTTACTAAATCTGCACTGTAAGCAAATGTTTCACTTCTTTTAGCGTTTAGCATTTGTTTATCAACATTTTACTTGCTGTGCTAGATTTAGCTTTTAGATAGATTTAGTGTTTAGTTAGCAACTGTTTAGCTACATTTAGCTTTTAGCAACTTATATGGTACATTTAACTTTTAGCAAATGCTTTACGTTTATCTTTCAGCAAGTGCTATGCTACACTTAGCTTTTAGCTAGAGTTTTGCTACATTTAGTAAGCAACTTTTAGCTTTCAGCAGTTGTTTTGCTACATTTAGCAACTGA